AGCTCAGATCTCTCTCTGAATTCCAGACTTGTATATGCAACCTATATTCAGCATCCACCTAGTTGTCTCAGACAACCCCCTTCCAAACGTCCCCTCCCCAGCCTGCCCCTTCCACAATCTTCCCCCGTCAGTAAATGGCTCCTGGAGTCCACAGTTGTCTTGCCCTCCTTATCCGTCACTGTTGGCTTTTCTGTTCCCAGCGAGGTCAAGCCACCATCATTTTACCCCACTCTGGTTATTGCAATAATCCCCAACGGGTCTCTCTGGTTCCCCCCTAGTCTATTCTCAACACAACAATCTGTGCAATCCGTTTAACTTAGACTGTATCATTTCTCTGCTCACAGTCTTGCAATGGCTCCCCGTCTTACAGAGTAAAAAACCAACAAAACCTTACAAGGGTTGCATACAATTCTTCTTCCCTTGCTCTGGTGCCCTGGATCACTCTGCTCCAGCCACACTGATCTCCTGGCTGTTCCTGGCCCAGCTTCCACATCGAGGCCTTTGTTGTGGCTACTGCATCATGCTCTCTATCCCTCTTACTACGTTCTAGTGTTTTCTGTCCACAGCCCTTATCATCACCTATTATACTACTTAAATAGCTTCCTTCTTAATTTTATTGTTTCTCTTCTGCAAGAACATAATTTCCACAAAGACAGGTTTTGTTGACCAAATTTCTAGAACAGTACCTAGCACACAGTAGGTGCCAAAGCAATGTATTTCGCATGAATATCTTTCGCCACCATGGCCACTAGGAAGCGGTATAGCTTCGCGTCTAAAGCATGACCTTGCATTTGGATCTGGTTTCTACTACTTAGTTGTCACATGACTTCGTGCAAGTTACTGAACCTCACTTTCCTTAACTGTAAAGACAAAAAGTGTACCTATCTGTTGGGGTAGTTGTGAGGATGAAATAACAAATAGAAACCATACAGGAGAGCACCTAGAACTGTATAAGTGATAGACATGATTTCCACTAGAATGTACACTCCATTGCCACATAGGTTTTTCTCTGCTTTGCTCGCTGATGTATCTTTAATGTCTAGAACAGTGTGCAGCACATGGTGGATGGTCAGGGACTATTTGTTGAGTGAATAAATGAATCCACACCATCACATTTTTTGGAATCTTGTGGCAGCTTCCTATCCAGACGTCCTGCCTCAGAACTGCCTAAGTGCTCTTTCAAACTTAAATCCAGGGGCTTGCAAACTTAAGCATCAATCAGAGTCCCCTGGAGAGTGTGTTAAAACAGATTGCTGGAGAGTTCTGATTTAGTAGATCTGGGCTGCAGGAGAGATTCTGCATTTCTAACAGGTTCCCAAATACTGTTAGTGATGCTCTTCCAGGGCCCACACATTGAGAAACACTGTTCTGATCTCACTTGTGACTCTTTTGTTTCAAACCACCCAGGCTTCTCGCTGTCACTCAAGTTAACGTTTGAACTATTTGGCTTGGTGTGTAAGGCCCTCGTGGTCTGGTCCCTTAGCTGGTTTAGCCTTGACTTCCCCTGGTAAGTCCCTATTATTTCATTCCTTTTGATCGCAGTGCTTTGGTTAAAAGGAACTATTTGCAGTGTGCAGACTGAATAAAAGCTCATTCCTGGGACTTCAGCTGTTCCTGGGCCCAGAAGCTGAACTTGAGTTTACCTTCTCTGCTAGGTTTTTCTTTCTCCTTGCAGAATTGAGCTCTTCTTCTTGGTCTCCACACTGCATTCTGAGCAGGCTTCCAATAAAGCACTCTAAAACATCTTGCATTTATTTGCACGAGTTTCTACTTCTGCCAGACTGTAGGTCTTGTGCCGAGGCTGATTCCTTTATGTATATCTGAGTTCAAGCACAGGGTCTGGCACTTAGTGGATGCCCAGTAAATAATAATAAAAGCTAAGATGTATTGAACGCTTACCATTTTCTGGGACTTTGGGTAGACTTTAGTTTTTCTTAGTTGAATAATAACACTTTAATCCATCAGAGGGTTGAGGGTAGGAGGTGTGAAGAAGAGATATTGGTGATGGAGATGTATATGAAACTAATGCAAAATAAACATACATTTTGATTTTTCAAAGCCAGCTTCTGTTATGTGAGTTAGCCATGCAGTGTCTTCTTCACTCCTCTAGAGAAGGGATATCCTTGCCAATCTTGTTCGCTTTGTCCACATTCTCCCATACCCTCTCCAAACATTTTGAAAACAAATCCATTGAGCGATAATTGAAATGCAATAACTAGCACATACTTAACAGCCTATAATTTTTTTTGAAGATTTTATTTATTTATTTATTTGACAGAGAGAGAGCAAGAGCAGGAACACAAGCAGGGAGAGTGTGAGAGGGAGAAGTGGGCTTCCCGCCCAGCAGGGAGCCTGATGTGGGGCTTGATCCCAGGACCCTGGGATCATAACCTGAGCCGACGGCATAAAGTTAATGGCTGAGCCACCCAGGCGCCCCAACAGCCTATAATTTGATAAGTTTTGACATATGCATATACCTGTGAAATCATCACCACAATCAAGTTAATGAACTTGTTTCCTGTACCCCCAACCAACTACTGACTTGCTTTCTGTCACTTTGGATCAGTTCCCACTTTCCATAATTTTTTTTTTAAAGATTTTATTTATTTATTTGACAGAGAGAGACACAGCGAGAGAGGGAACATGAGCAGGGGGAGTGGGAGAGGGAGAAGCAGGCTCCCCGCTGAGCAGGGAGCCCGATGCGGGGCTCGATCCCAGGACCCTGGGATCATGACCTGAGCCGAAGGCAGACTCTTAACGACTGAGCCACCCAGGGGCCCCACACTTTCCATAATTTTATATAAGTGGAATCATACAATATGATCTCAGACTTCCAGCTTCGAGAACTCCGAGACAATTAAATTTCTGTTGTGTAAGTCACCCGGTCCGTGGTGCACACAATACACTTTTTAAAAACATATGTTATCTCCTTGTATACTTCCTTGTGTGACATTTTATGTCCATTATTCTGAAGGAATAGCATAGAATATAGTAAATTTATAACATAATTTAGATTGACAACAGTTTATAAGTGAAGAAAAATATATCCTGTAGTGATTTCCCAACAGACTTATACCTACCTCAATAACGAATTTTTTGGTATTTAACATACACTTGGTAGCAGTTTTCAGTGCCTTTGCGACAGAACACATCAGGGACTTAGCAAGTCCGAAGAGCTTAGAATTGCAGAAAGATTCCCAAGTGCGCGATGAGGAAGCAGATCATAGCTGATGTTGTTGACTACATTTCCGTTTTCTTTATTAGCAGACACAGGAGGAACTTCTCTTGGGATTCAGTATCCAGAAAATTTGACTTCTCCTGAAAATCTGGTCTATTTGTGTCTTGAGGATGCGTAAGGCTAGTAAGGGATTCTGGCTTCCTCTAGAAGAGCCAGATAATTGGCTCACGTCTTTCAACAGCGTGTGCATATCTGTGGGCTGTGCTTGCCCATCTTCACTGTTTTCTGACCTATCTTTTCCCCCTATCCTATTTCTCTTTACTCTGTCATACTGTATCCATTGTGGAAAGAAGAGAGGATAAATAAGTGGATAGATAAGCATATGAATATTATCTTGACCTGCCTTGCCAGGAGTTCCAAATCCTGTCAGAGGTAGACACACCAGATTCTCCAGATCCCAGTCTCACCGCAGAATTTGTTGTTGGGTATAGACGGCTTAGCCCTCCTTTATTCTAAGATAAACCATCTTATACCAAATCAAAGCTGTTGGCAATAGTATACGGGCAGAATGCTCTAAAGATTATGATGTCTATACCGCTCCCACTCTACCTCGTCTTCCTCCCTTGCTTTTTCTTCACCTTATGAGAAGTCTGTATTTGAATAGAATTCTGAGTACCGTGGCTGCAGGAAAATGCTGATGTTCGGTGAGGGTGGCACTCTGATTCTTGATTCCACCACCTGAAAGTCATTGTTCTTGGATTTTTTCCCCCACATTATTTTGTGTCTTTGTGGAAACATTTGTTTACCATATTCTGCAAATGTGTTGTCTCCAAATGGATTGAAAACCTACCTGAAGGCACATCTTAGTCATCTATGTAATAACTACAAGGCTTGTTATAATGGTATGCACAAAGCAACACCTCAAGAGTGTTTGAGTTGTTTCTGATTATTAATATTGTGGTGTTTAAGGAGACTTGCTGGGAAGGGGTCCAATAAATACCCTCCAGTGAGGGACACCTGGGTGGCTCAGTCTGTTAAGGGTCTCCCTTCAGCTCAGGTCACGATCCCCGGGTCCTGGGATCCAGTCCCACAGCGGGCTTCTTGCTCAGCCGGCTGGGAGCCTGCTTTTTCCCTCTGCCTGCTGTTCCCCCTGCTTGTGCTCGCTGTCAAATAAATAAATAAAAATCTTTTAAAATAAATAAATGAATAAAAAATGGAAGCGGGAACTAACAGTTATTGAATCCACCATGAGTCACATACAATTTTTTTCTCATATAATCCTCATGGTTATTCCCTAAGGTAGAAACTGGGAAGAAAAGGGAAGAAGGGAAACTGAGCTCGGCTTTCAAGCTCTCAGTAGACAAGCAGGAGGTGGAACGCAGTCTGATTTCAAAGCAAAGCTTTGCGTCCCCCTTCCCTTCTTTGCATTCTTGCGTGGAGCACCTGCTACGGGTGTTCAGTTTCTCTTCGCGAGGTAGTTCCTGCACAGACGCGGGCACTCTGCACCAGAACGCCACCCGTGCTGAGTCACGGTTGCCGGCAGGAGGCACCCTCGTCGCGCCACATCCTAGATCCTAGCCGCCTGCCCCAGCCCAGCATCCCGCCGTTGGGACAAATTAACCACGCGGTTCGCCCGCCGCGGACTCTCCCCGGACGTTCCTCGGCACCGCCCCGCAGCCGCAGGGCTCCTCTGATTGGACGTGGCTGCGCCCGGCGGGCCAATGGCGCGGGGACGACAGGTTCCCGGAAGTGGCGGCGCGGCGAGGGGAAGACCTTAGCTTCCGCCGGCGGCGTGGGGACCGGTCTGCCGAGCTGTGCCGGCGCTATGAGTTCCTTCATGGGGCAGATGGCCGAGTACCCGACCATCTCCATAGACCGCTTCGACAGGGAGAACCTGAAAGCCCGCGCCTACTTCCTGTCCCACTGCCACAAGGGTGAGTGAACGCGGCGCGCCGCCCGCCCCAAGGACGCGGGCGGCGCGGGTTCTGGCCCCGCGGGGAAGCCGTCCGGGGGGCTCGAGCGGCGGAGTTCAGGCTTCGGGAGGCCGGGGCCGAGACTAGCAGGTGCACCTTGTCTCAGCCTGGCTCTTCAGCGTCTCTGAAGCTTTATTTCTTCTGTACGTCGGGACGGAACCGAAACTTGGCGCAACCACCCGGGCCAGTTTGACCAGGCGTAACTTAGGTTCTTTTGGTAGCTCGCCTAGCTGCGAATAGTCAGAGGTCAGCGAGGATTATTACTTATTTCTTCCTCCACATCTTCGCTTCCATGTTATAAAGAAGGCAAGTTTCAGATGAAATTCCACCCTACCCCACCTCCCCAACATTTATTATCAAGCAAGCACATGCACACACACTCAAACATCCTGTCTGAAAGCTCTATGAAGTGCAAGCTCCCCCTCCTTTTAGGTGTTCTGCCCACCTCCAGTATTAAAGTTTAGTTTAAGGTGAGGCAACCAGAATACTAAGATTTAGCAGCTGCGCACCGTTAGGGATTAGGCCCTGATGATAAGGCCTGGAGGCTAGAGGCTCCAGGTGAGGCTGGAGTGTCTCTAAAACGTTCTAGCCAATCTCCAGAGCTGGAGGAGCACTCATTTTGCAGCCATTGGCCATGCGTAACATCTGGTACGCCGAAGTTCCTGCTTTTGGGAAATGCCTCTGCTTTTTTGCTGTGACCTACGAATTTTCTCTCATTAATGAGGATAAATCTGGACTTCCTCTCTCGATTTGCTAAATAGCACTGTGAGCCTCTTTGAGGGTCTTTTTACTTAGTCTCCAGAATGTTTTTCATTGTGAATCTCCTCTTGGGCGAGGATACCTCTGTTTTACCTTTTGTCTTGAGCCTCACTGGAGTTTCCGAACTCAAAATTTGCTAGCCATGATTGGAAATGTGGCGTAGGGGCTTGCCCTTTATGTTTACAAGTAGTGAGTTTGGAGAAGGAATCCGTCTAAAGGAATCCGAAATCATGATCGTTAATTTGTAAGTTAAGCAAGAAACTGACTCCCTATTATTGAGCAGTTTATAGTAACGGTTCCTGTTCTCTCATGACATGTGAGTGTTTACTCAACCAGAATATAAACTCATCAAGGGCAAGAACTCAACTTCTGCTTTCAGAAATTTCCCACACTGCTTACTGGTAGTTTTTAACCTGTGAGAAACATGTTTCTTTGATGTGCTGTGGACTTGTGGACTGAATTGTGCCCCCCCCCCATTTATATGTTGAAGCTCAAACCCTCTATTGACTGTATTTGGTGATTGGGTTTTTGGGAGGCAAAATTTAAATGAGCTTATAAGGGCGTGGTCCTAACTCGTTAGGATTGATGGCCTTATAAAAAGAGGAATAGAGATTTTTCTCTCTCCACACACACTGAAGAAGGGCCATCTGCAAGCCAGGAGGAGAAGAAGTCTCACCAGAAACCAACCCTGGCACCTTGATCTTGGAATTTAGCCTCCAGAACTGTAAGAAATTTTGTGGTTTAAGCCACCTTGTCTGTGGTATTTTATGTCAGTCTGAACCAACTGATACAGAATATCTGACATGATCTCTGGACTCTTTTGGTAGAAAAACATCACATAAATGCATTAACATCACATTTTGATAGAACATCTCATCCCATGGCCCACTCAGTCCTGTTTATGGACCATCTGGAACCCCGGGCTCTGCTCAGGGCAGGCTCTGCTAAGCATCAGTAAGGCCTGGAGGACAAGAGGAGACCCATGGCCTGAGAGAGTGGCCCAGGGTTGGGGAAGACCCCTTTAGGGGACAATTTACAATGACCTAATCTGGTTCAGCAAAAGGAAAAAGGCCCTGGGAAGGAGACTCTGGGTGCAGTCCTCGCAGCACCAAGCAAACTGACCCACGTTCTTTTGGCTGGCAGTCTTGAAAGGGGCTGGGGTCCTGGGCCGTCTTGATTAAAGCAGCCACAGAGTGCTGCCTGCTGATTTAGTTTAGGAGCATGGAGCCGAGTCCTGATTTAGCCTCTTTTTTTGCCGTGGCGCAAATTCTTTGGAAATCCCAACCGAAAGCCCTGCCCAGGATGCCCCCATAGGCCCTACAAACCTGGATCAGGAGTGATCTGAGGAGATTTACCCTCTGAGGGGGCAGGCACATGTCTGGTCAGGGTCTGCCGCGGGGACTGCCTTGTTTCCTCTGAAGTTAAGAAAGGATTACCACGGGTAAGTTGAGGGCGCACGTGCAAGTGTGTGTGTGTGTGTGTGTGTGTGTGTGTGTGTGTTGGTGGTAATTCGAATAATTAGAATTGGTTTGATTCATCTAAACTGAGAAGGTGTGGTCACTGCCATCTAGTCCTACCCATGCTGGAGATTCAGAATGTATTAGAATGCACCATATGTTTAAAGGCCGTGTTTCTGTATCTGTTAATTTGCAGGGCTGAGAAGCGGGCCTGTGTGGATAGAAATACCTTCAACCCAGCAGTCAGAGCAGGCTGAGAGGATAATGAAACTCTTCTTATGCTGGCCTAAGCCTGAACGAGTTCCAGTGCCTGGAACTGAATGGGTCACATAGAGTGGGGCACAAGGGATGGTTGGATTAAAATGAAAGAAGAGCATAAGGAAAGTGCTGGAAGTAGTTCTGAAATGAGTATCTGGTCGCTCATTCTTCTGTGGCTACTCAGCTATTTAGACTCTGTCCTAAGATGGAGGGGATTGTTCTCCTTTTAAATGATGACCAGAGATGGTCAGCTTTCCATGGTTCCTGGCCTGTTTTCAGATGCATGTCACCTGCAGAAGAAAGAGCCAATAGCCCATAGGAATCAGTTCTTTTATAAAAGTGAACCTCTTGGGGTGCCTGGGGGCTCAGCTGGTTGAGCATCTGACTCTTGATTTCGGCTCAGGTCGTGATCTCGGGGTCATGGGATCCAGCCCCGTGTTGGACTCCCTGCTCAGTGGGGAGTTGGCTTCAGGATTCCCGCCCCCATCCCACCCCCTGCCCCGCTCCCGCAGGAGCGTCCATGCTCGCTCTCTCAAATAAATCTTAAAAAAAAAAAGTGAACCTCTCATATATTTTCTCTTAAAAGGAAGCTTGAAAAGAACAGACAACTGTTTGCTTGGCCTAAGGAATCCTCTCAAAAAAAAAAAGAAGTGTCCTGGGGCGCCTGGGTGGCTCAGTCGTTAAGTGTCCGCCTTCGGCTCAGGTCATGATCCCGGGGTCCTGGGATCGAGCCCCGCATCGGGCTCCCTGCTCAGCGGGAAGCCTGCTTCTCCCTCTCCCACTCCCCCTGCTTGTGTTCCCTCTCTTGCTGTGTCTCTCTCTGTCAAATAAATAAATAAATACAATCTTTAAAAAAAAATGTGCTTATGATTTTTGATTCTTTTGTTTTTAGATCATATGAAAGGATTAAGAGCCCCTACCTTGAAAAGAAGGTTGGAGTGCAGGTAATTTATTTTGCTACTTATTTGTGTGTGTTTTTTAAGTAAACATTTTAATTGAGTTATGACTTCCACACGGGAAAGTACATACATCGTAATGGGACACAGTCAGATGAGCTTTTACAAGCGAGCACATCTTTGAAGCTTCAGAGAAATAGAATAGGACCAGTGTCCCCGAACAGAGCCCCCTCCCATCCTTCTTCCTGGTCAGCGCTTGTCTCCCAGAGGCAACCTGTATCCTGACTTTCTGTCGTCATGGTTTAGCTTTGGCTGGTTGTGAACTTTGTATAAGTGGAATAATACCGAATAGACCCTTCTGTTTGTTTTCTTTCACTTAACATTCTGGTTGTAATAGGATTCATCATGCTGTTGGGTGTGGCAGTAGTGTGTTCATTTTCATTTCTGTGTGTGTGTGTGTGTGTGTGTGTGTGTGTGTGTAGTTCTGTTGTGAAGACAATCGTATGTTTTTGGATCTTTAAGCCAAACGACTGCATCCTTTTGCTACAGCCCGCTTTTGCCTAAATGTCCATTCCAAAATCTCAAGCTATGTATTGGAAAGAGCCCTGTTGACTCTCTAACTTCTGACCCAGTGGATGTCAGTCTTCTCTGCAAAGTGCTGTCACTAGTCTGTGTTCGTGATAAATGGTAGCTGATATTCATTGAGTACTTAGGTATATGCCAGGCACTATGTACTGATTAAACAGTTTCTTTGAGTGCCTGTGATGAGTCAGCCACTGTCCTGGACGGTGAGGATATAATAGTGACAACACAGATGAAAATCCCTGTCTTCTCGGAGCAAACATCCTCATTAGATCCTCTTGATGATTTTTTGAATAGATACCGGTATTATTTCTATTTTGCAGATGAGGAAACTGAGGAACCAGAGAGGTTAAATTAGTTGCCCAAGGTCACACAGCCAGTAAGTGGCAGAACCAGGAGTTCAACCAGGTCTGTCTGATTTTGGAGCCTGTATATTAGTTATCTGTTACTGCGTAACAAATCACCCCAAAACTTAGTGACTTAAATCCACTAATCATGTGTTTTCTTTCTCAGTTTCTGTGGGTCGGGAATGCTGACAGGGCACGGTCGGGGGCGGGGGGCCCTGGTTTCTGCCTGGCTGGGTGTCCTATGGGGGCTGTCATTATCTGGAGGCCCATTCATTCAGTGTTTGACACCGAGGCTGAGAAGAATCAGGCAGCTGGGGCTTTTGGGCATCTCTGTTGCTACAAAACTCTTCAGCATGGTGACTTCAAGGTAGCCGAACTTCTGAAATGGAGACTTGGGGCTTAGAAAGTGTATGTCCCAAGGGAGAGCTAGCAGGTAGCTATGTTGCCCTGGAGACATAGCCTCCAAAGTCCTGCGGCCTTCCTTCATCACGTTCTGTTGGCTAAGGCAATTAAAAAGATGGGTTGAAGGGGAGGTTAAAATAGACCCCTTCTGTCAATGGACGGATTTCCATATCTGTTTTGTAAACAGAGCGTGGATGGTTGGGGTATGTATTAGTGGGGCCATCTTTAGAAAATACGGTCCACCACAGACTGTATTCTTAATCTCTGAACTTTGCTTTTGAATTTTTAAAGTTTATTATGAAATTGATTTCTCCTGACTAAAAAACAGAAGAGGTTTATATGAAGTAAAACCCAGAAGTCTTCTGTTCCCCACTTCTTTCGTTCTTGAGAGATAGCTTCATTTGGTGGTATCTTTTCAGACCTACCTGATCATGTGCAAACATGTGTCTTTAAGAGTGATGGGGGACACCCTTTTGAGGAGGCCAGAGGGCACAGTATTTTCTCTCATCTGCTTCTTCCCCTTTGTCCTTTTGCATTCTTTTTTTTCTTTTTTTTTTAAAGATTTTATTTTTAAGGGGGGGGACTCCTGGGTGGCGTAGTCTGTTAAGCGGCTGGCTCTTGATTTCAGCTCAGGTCATGATCCCAGGGTCATGATCCCAGGGTTGTGGGATTGAGCCCTATGTGGGCTCCGTGCTCATTGGGGAGTCTGCTTGGGATCCTCTGCTGTCCCTCTGCTCCTCCTTGCTTGTGCGCTCTCCCCCTCTTCTTTCTCTCTCTCTCCAAATAAATAAATCTTTAAAAAAAAAAGTTTTTTATTTTTAAGTAATCTCTACACCAAATGTGGGGCTCTAAGTTACAGCCCCAAGATCCAGAGTCTCATGCTCTACCGACTGAGCCAGCCAGACGCCCCCCTCTTTGTGGTCTTGATGGGACCTAGCTAGTCACAGGTGCTGGCATGTTGGGAACTGCTCTAACACTTGGTGAGCCAGCTCAGTGTCTGAATGATTTGAGATAACTGATACGTGATGAAATGTATTTTCTGGTCACCCAGTGGCTCACTGTGGATTGTACTGACACAGCTTTTCTAAATTTCTTCCTTTCAGCTTGAAGGTTTACTTATACTGTTCACCTGTTACTAAAGAGTTGTTGTTAACTAGCCCGAAGTACAAATTTTGGGAGAAACGAATCGTAAGTTTTATTTTTTGAATGACACCAATTCTTTTTCTCAAGGGGAAATATTTTTCGAGGTCGATTAAACAAAGCATTGGAATTACTCAAAGCCCAGTTCCTCCTACGCTACAATTATCCACATTAGTTACAGTGTTGATGTTTAGTCTTTGTAATTCATCAGTTTAGAAGAGGCCAACATTTTATTGTTGCAGAGTTGTTTTTCTTGTCCCTCAGCAGTTTGATCTTGGGTCTTGGTTTTGTTGGTTTAATCTCATTAACTCTTGCTAAGTTGCATTTTAATACTTTGAAGTGTAAAATGTGTAACCCAATTGACAAATCCTTTTATTTAGGTCATGACATAGTTTAGGAAAAATGAACACATCTTATGGGTTATGATAAAGGGATAACAACTGGAATAAAAAGTGGACAGCTTTGAATCTGACAGAATAAAATGGAGCTGTTCAATGGGAAGCAGATAGTAAAGGGGAGAAACAGAAGAATGGCATATGGAAAATGTAAAGATGCCAGGAAAGGTCCTATTATAACAGTAATTACTATAAATATGGCTTTAATTCAGCTCCTGCTCAAAGTATAATTTTCTCAGTTTAGGTTAAAAAAAAAAGTTCCACCACTCTTAGTCTACAAGAGACTTAGATAAAACAAAAGGATAAATGCAGGTTGAAATGGAAATAAAAAACAAAAAAGGGCCAAGATGTACTAAACAATTAGAAGCTAAAAATGCCAGAGTGGCAGTTTTTATGTCATACAAAATAGAATTGAAGGCAAAAGGAGATCTTGTTTCAAAGAGGATGTTATTTACTGTCAGAAGGAACAATGGATCCAGAAGATAGGAACTTAACATGCACTTCACAGAGTAGCCTCAAACTGGATACAGTCATCACTGATCCCCCCCAGTGCTTGATCCGAGAAAGAGAACCACTGCGGGGGGAATGCAGTTAGGGTGCACTCTGTGGATTAAACCTTAGGTCATCGTGGGAACTGGCAGAGAAGTCTGGGAAGTGTCAGAGTCTGTTTGATGTTTGCCTGCTACCAGCTTTCAGCTCTCACCTCCTCTTTCCACTTCTGCCCCACATTTGGGCAAGCTGATTAAAAAAAAACAAACAAAAAAAGCCCTGGGGTGCCTGGGTGGCTCAGTTGGTTGAGCGTCTGCCTTCGGCCCAGGTCATGATCCCAGGGTCCTGGGATCGAGTCCCGCATCGGGCTCCCTGCTCAGCAGGAAGCCTGCTTCTCCCTCTGCCTCTGCCCCTCCTCCCCGCTTGTGCTCTCTCTCTCTCTTTCTCTCTTTCTCTGTCAAATAAATTAAAAAAATCTTAAAAAAAAAAAAAGCCTACCCCTCCCTTGGCCCTGACATGAAGTTTAACCATGCAAGCCCAGGCACCCCACCCCACAACCACAATAAAAACCAGGGCCAGCCACTGCCACCCTCTGTCGGGCCGGAAGAGCCACTTCCTCTCAGCGGGGGCACTGCTGTCTCCGCAGAATGTGCCCCAGTGTGGGGCATCCAGTGCCAGCACCCCCTGTTGGTGCACGGGTGGCACATTCAGCCTGGGCTGAGGTCCATCCCCACTCCCCAGAGTGAGCCGTCACCGAGGCTGTAACCTTGGCCTGCTATTAGGCCCGAAGCTGCTGTGGACCCGCCGGCCAGCAGCGGCAAGCGGAGCTGAGAGTGAAGCGGAGAAGGGCAGAGATGGGCCGGAACTCACAAGGACAACCTGGGACCGCTGTCTGTGTCTCACTCCTCCCAGCCTGCCTAGTGCTGCAGTCCGCCCCCGTTGCCGCTGAGTTCCACACTCCTGGCCCAGGCCATCGAGAAGCTGAAGGAGGAGACACAGCCGAAAGTGGGCTTGCTGCGGTCCTGCCTGTCTGCGGGCTGAGCCAGCAGGTGCACATACACGCACTGTCAGCACTGCTGGTGCCCGGCCGAGCGCTACGACACAGCTGCTGGTTCACTTTGGCCTTCAGATCTCACACGGATGTTTTTTGGGGCCAGCGCCACCTGGAGGTGTACGTGGAAAGGACTTGTGGGACAGTTCCAGCTCAGCTAAGTTGATGGGGTACAAGGCCACCTCACAGTCTGAGGGACACTAGGCAGCTCAGCATTCATAGCTGGAGCACTTTCCACACCACTCTCAGAAACTGAAAGAGGGGTCCGCCTGAGGGGCTCAGTCGTTGAGCGTCTGCCTTTGGCTCAGGTCATGATCCCAGGGTCCTGGGATCGAGCCCTGCATCGGGCTCCCTGCTCACTGGGGAGTCTGCTTCTCCCTCTGCCTGCCCTTCCCCCTGCTTGTGCGCTCTCTCTCTCTGTGTCAAATAAATACAATCTTAAAAAAAAAAAGAAAAGAAACTGAAAGAGGAAGGAGGCAGGAAATAAGATAGATTTGAAGGGCATGATTAATAAATGTGAACTAATAGCAATCCAAGGCACCCAAAGGGAAAAGATCTTTCGTATACATGGAACATTTACAACAATTGACCCTGCACTGTGGCACAAAAGAAGTAGGAAGTTCTAGTGATCTTTTCTCTGAGTACAATGCAATGGATGCTAGAAGTCACAAATAAAAGGAGAGCTAAAATCATCTACATATATAGGAACTAAATGTATATAATAAGCAACCATTAGGTTAAAGAGGAAATTGTAAAGAAAAATATGCAATACTTAGAACTGATGGACAGTGAGAACACGACACGTCAAAATGTGTGTGACACAGCTAAATTAGCACGTGAAGGGAAATTGACAGCATTAAGTACATTTCTTCGAAAACAAAGACCAGAATTACATGGATTGAGTCTTTGACTCAGTAACAAGGAAAAGGAGCAACAAAGCAAATCCAAGGTTATGTGGAAGAAGGAAGTAATAAAGGTAAAAGGACAGGTTAGCGATACAGAGACTGACAACTACCACAGAAAATAAAAGGGAAGATTAACAAAAGTAAAAGCTCATCTTTAGAGGAATAGAGAGAGATTTCTGCCAAGATTAGAAAAAGAAGATGCCGGGCCTACTGTGGGAACGTGAGGGATGCCATGAATTCCGTCTGGAGGCATCTTTGAGCTCACCAAGTAGACACCATGAGCAAAGCTCACCCTCCCAAGTTGAAAAAATTTATGGACAAGAAATTATCATTGAAATTAAATGGTGGCAGACATGTCCAAGGAATATTGTGGATGTTCGATCCGTTTATGAATCTTATGATAGATGAATGTGTGGAGATGGCAACTAGTAGGCAACAGAACAATATTGGAATGGTGGTAATACGAGGAAATAGTCTCATCATGTTAGAAACCTTGGAACGAGTATAAACAATGGGTGTGTTCATCAGAAGAAATCAACTTCCACATGTCCCCTCTCCATACTACCTGTTTTACTACAATATAAAAATCAGGTCATGTGCATTTTCATATTGAACTTTTTTGTTAAATAAACTTTTATAATAGAAAAAAGATGCATATAAAAATACAGAATTATAAACAGAAAATAACTATTAATAGCAGTGCATTTATTGGAAATTAATGATCATATATTCGATAATTTAGCCAAAGTGGATAAATATCTGGATAAGTAGGAAAATATCAAATTGAGGCAAGAAAAGTGGAAAACTTGCATAAGTAAACATTGAAGAAATTAAAACAACAAAGATCTCTTCTTCAGTAAAGCCCCAGGTCCAGATGGTTTTATAGGTGCATTTTGCCAAATGTTCAAAGGACAAATAATCCCCATACTGGATGAGTTTTTGTGGGATATAGTAAAGAGATAGGCTGCTCAGCCTTGTTGGCAGAATTGATAATGATAGGGAAACGGGAAGAAAAGCCATTTCATGTATGATCACGGGAACATCCTGATTAAGGTGGCAGCTAACTGAATCTCACAGTAATAAATAAGCGCTTTGTGAATACAATGTGTTTATTCCAGAATGCAAGGATATTTTTTTTTTAAAGATTTTATTTATTTGAGAGAGAGAGCATGAGTGGGGGAGAGAAGCAGACCCCCCAGTGAGCAGGGAGCTGGACTTGGGACCTGAGCCGAAGGCAGACGCTTAACCAACTGAGCCACCCAGGCACCCCCGGAATGCAAGGATATTTTTAACACCCAAATCTCAGTCACTGTAAGTTTTAGGATATCAGTGGACTGAAAAGATGAACAATTACGTTAATTTATTCATCAGCTACTTGCTGAATGCCTCTTATGCGAGTTGCTGTCTTAGTAAAATGGGCCAGGCCACCTTGGAGCCCTCTGCTGCAGCCCAAATCTGTGAATTAGGCCAGCATCTCGCGGATGGATCCAGGCTGCAGTTTGCAGCGCGAAACCTAAGCATGCAGAGCACATGGCCACGTGTGTTACTGAGACTCAAGTTCAGAGGGGAGAGGGCAGTGGGAGGACAGGGATGGGGAGGTGAAGGGAGAAAAGTTGAATTCATGGAAGTGGAATTGCTGTGTCAAAGGATATGCAAGTTTAGGAGGCATTTAATCCACTTTGCCACGTCAGCCACAGGAAAGGCACTCCTTTAGCTCTATCAAGTCTTCAAGCTGCTAAAACGTTTAGTATTGCAAAATCAGAAATTGTTACACGGAGAGTCTTAGTAACTTCTTCTAAGTCCCTTTTTTGTGTTTGAGATGGCAAAGGTATGTAAATCCATGAAAAACTGAAAACACTTGGTATGATGTACATATGATCTCTTATTTTAATAGATATCCATTGAAATTGAAACTCCTACTCAGATATCTTTAGTCGATGAAGCATCAGGCGAGGTAAGTAAAAATATAATTTTTAAAAATTATTTAATAATATTGTTTTTCTCTGTGATTTTGAATGCTCATCTTAACATAAATGAAAGTTACAGTAATTGGGTGAGTTTGTAGGGAAAAAAAATATTTGTGTTGTATTTCTTTTCTACATAGTAGTCTACAAGGTAGACTTCTGTGTGAATTGCTCCTTTTTAGTTAGTGTATTACCTAATGATGAGAACTCCAAGTGTTGATATTATTACATAATGTCATTGTCATGTTTATTGTTTATTATAATATTCAGGATATAATATGGTGCTTAGTGCTTTTGTAGCAAATATATGTATTTGTGATTTTCTTTTTTTCTGAATTATTTCTTACTTAAGAAACAGACAGTGTCCAAGTGGATCCAATATATTTTTTGTCCTTAAATTTAGAAGCAGGTACTTTTCTGTTGTGAATGTATTGGTTTAATAATCAAGATGATGGACCTACCTTTTATTTATTTATTTTTTACCTCAAATTTTTCCTAGGGCCAGGAAGTATTTTCCTATTTTATGGTAAATCTAGTTAATATTCGTTCCATGGCCTGGTTATAACCTGCTTTGTCGACACGTTGAACTCTGAAGGGTGTCCGTTGTCCAACCAGGATCAGGCTGACTTTTCACATCTCCTCTCTGGAGAAGATCAGGTGTGTGAAGTCGTCCTCATCGAATTGTTCGCCAAGGGAGGACTGCAGGGCCAGTTGAGGGCGGGTTAAAAAGGATAGCCTGAAGGTCCCTAAACGCTGTCCTGACCTCAGTTAGCGAACGCCAGACTCTTCTGATTGCCTCGCTGCCTTATGTTGGTGAAAGGCGTTGTCAAAACAGGGCTCCAGAGAGCAGGCAGCTCCTGTTGGCCAGAGTCTGGCCATCCCACTCTGGTCCTTTGTTTATTCTCATGCACTGTGGCTCCGTGCATTGTGTCTCCAGCACTAACCACAGGACCCTTGCTCTAAGGGGGCCATCGGAATGAATGACGTTAGACTTCCTGGAGGAATTGCCATTACCGGTAGCGAGCGAGTGTGTCCAGAGCTCTGCCCTACTAGGACAGACAGTACATGTAGAATGGTGACCTGGGCCCAGACGACATCAGGCTTTTTTTTTTTTTTTTAGTTTAATAATAGCTTTATTGAGATATCATTCATATACCATACAGTTCATCCCATTTAAAATGTACAGTTCAGTGGCTTTTAGTATATTCACAGAGTTGTGTATTCACCACCACAATCATTTTTCAAATATTTTCATCACCCAGAAAGAAACCCTGTACCCATTAGCATTCATTCCTTACTTCTCCCTCCCCCAGCCCATGGCAGCCGCTACTTTAAGTCTGTAGGATTTGCCTGTTCTGGACATTTCGTACTGATGTGGTCTTTTGTGACTTGCTTCTTTCACTTTGCATAATGGTTTCACGGTTTGTCCATGTTGTGGTATGATGTCAGGATTTCATCTCTTGCCTTGGCCTGAGTAACATTCCGTTGTATGGAGAGACCACATCCTGTTCGTTCGCTCATCAGCTGATCGACGTTTTGGTTGTTTCTACTTGGTGGATAGTAGGAGCAGTGCCGCTGTGAACATTCACGCCCGGGTTTTCGTGTGGATGCCCGGTTTCATTTCTCTCGTGTGTGTAGCTCGGAGTGGAGTTGCTGGGTTATACTGTCGCTGTGTTTAACCATCGTTCTGTGGGTGAGGATTCTACACGTCTCCAGGATTTGGCGCGTGAGGAAACGAGATGCATACCGCATTCTGGAGAAATACCTGAATCTGTTCTATTGAGGAGAGCTGGGTCCTGACGATAACTTCTATTATTATTATTTTTTCTTTATTTTCTTTTTAGAAGGAAGAGGTGGTTGTGACTCTCTTACCAGCTGGTCATTGTCCAGGATCAGTTATGTAAGGGGGCTCATCTATTTTGCCCTTTTATTTGTGGATATGTATTGTGTTTGTAGAAATAAATGTTTAGGGTCTAGAAAATAATATGTGTAGGGATATTACTTCTTTAATATGTAGATGGCAATTTCTGTAATCTTTGTTTCCAAATTGAACTTGGGGGACTGAGGTGAAGATCAAGTTAGAAATGTGGCTTTCTTATAATGGAAGCCTTCCATGGCCGTTTCTCCATTGGCTTTGCATTTTCCTCTCCCATGGATTTTTCTCTCCATGAGCAGGAATGATCTGTAGTTGAGAGTGCTAACACATTTCAGGGGATGCCTACTGCAAAGGCAGTAGTGTATTCCATTATGTTATCCCCCCTCCCCGGGAAAAGGTGGCGGCTGAGTGCCTGGTATGGTATAGAGCTGTTAAAGTCCCATAAATACTGTATTGTAGGTGGCTATGTTCGGCAGGAAACATTTGCTATGGATTTAGTGTGTATTTGCTTTATGGGGATGTTGTCACCAAGACATATTTCTTTCTCAGGTTTTTATTTCAGGGCAATAATGGAACAGTCTTGTACACGGGAGACTTCAGGTTGGCAAAGGGAGAAGCTTCCAGGATGGAGCTTCTGCACTCCGGGGGCAGGTATTAGACTTTATATAATAACCTCCTTTTTTTTTTTTTTTGAGAGGGCGTGCACGATCGGGGGGAGGGGCAGAGGGGGAGAAAGAGAGAATCCCAACCAGACTCCACGCCCAGCACGGAGCCCAACATGGGGCTCCATCTCATGACCCTGAGATCGTGACCTGAGCGGAAATCAGAAGTCAGATGCTTAACTGACTGAGCCACCCAGGCGTCCCAGACTTCATGTAATTCTTGGAGGACTGAATCATCTAAAGAGTTTTACTGCTCCTTTTCCCCTAAATACAAGCCTTTGTTTCAGGTAGAAATCGAAGTTTATTATATTTATGACAGTAAAGCAAAATTTTCTTCTTGAAATGGGGTAATGGTAACTTTCTGTATGTTGATTGGGGCAGTAGTTATGTGAACTTATGTCACAATTCACTGAACCATATTTACAAATCTGTAATTTATTGTGTGGAAATCATTTCCCAACAAAATTGATTTCACAAAAAAATTCCAAATTCAATGGCACACCCTCTAAGATTAGTGAGAATTTAAACTTTACATATATTTTATTTCACATTAGATGGTTAACACCAATTGTTGTTGTTTTTTTTTCCTAGAGTGAAAGACATCCAAAGTGTATACTTAGATACTACTTTCTGTGATCCAAAATTTTATCAAATTCCTAGTCGAGTAAGTCTCCCCGGAGAAGCAGGGGTGGTAACCAGGGTGTGGTTGTATTTCTGGTAGGAAGTTTCTAGAATAACATGTCAGATCATAATTGTCCCATAATTAATTGGCATTAATACTTGTGACTGTTGGGAGTGGAAAGGGTGAGTGATGTTCTTAAAAGTGTTAAATGCCTTTTAAAACTCCTGACCAGGAGGAGTGTCTGAATGGAATTGTAGAGCTGGTTCGAAGCTGGATCACTCGGAGTCCATACCATGTTGTGTGGCTGAACTGCAAAGCAGCTTACGGGTATGAGTACTTATTCACCAATCTTAGTGAAGAATTTGGAGTCCAGGTATGGTGATGGCTCTTTCTTTTCTGTTGCTCCTTCCATCCTCTCCTTTCCTCCCCCTTCCCGCCCCCCAAAAACCAACCGCAGTAGGGAAGCAGCCTATGAAAGGGCATGTGTTGGGGGCCTGGGTGGCTCAGCCGTTAAGCGTCTGCCTTTGGCTCAGGTCATGGTGCCAGGTTCCTGGGATCGAGCCCCACGTCTGCTCCCTGCTCAGTGGGGAGCCTGCTTCTCCCTCTGCCTTCACCTCTCCCCCTGCTTGTGGTAGAGAATCAGACACATGCGTTTACATACGTGTATGTGTGTGTGTCCTGGGTTGCCCTGGGAAACCTATTTCTTACTGTGGGTCCTGGTCCAGGTGTGTGAAAGCACTGTCCCAGAGCCCCGAAGCTTCAGATCAGGCTGGGAGGGAGTTTTATTTCACCTGTCCCTCCCTCGTGGCTCAGTGCTGGGCTCTCAGGCGGAGCCGCGGAGCCCAGGGCGTGAGTGTGGCCGCCGAGCCTCTGGCTTCTGCTCTTGTCCCCTGAGATAAGATGGGGTTCTGGCAATGACCCTGAATAAAACAAAGAGCTGGAGTGAGCTGGACATTTAAGTTCCACTCTGTTTTGTACCTTTTAACATAGGTCCCCCAGCCAACAAACTTGTGCCAAGAACTTAGTTCTACACAGTGTCATTCAGTAAAATAAAAAAGATCTAGCTTTTCCGCATATGAAATTTTTAAAAAATGCCTCCCTCCCTCCCTTCATAAGTCTTGACTGCCTTGGTCCTTCTTTCCTTAATGTTTTTCTTCTGTAAGTCCCTCTGTCGAAATACATTCGTATAAAGTTGTGAATTCTCCATTTTGAGAAGGATTTGCTTTCATTCTGAGATTGTCATTCCTGTTTTTTTGGTGTTAAAAATTTTTTTTTCCCCCATGGCGCTCACCATAGCACATACCCTCCCCAACGTCTTTCACCCAGCCACCCCATCCCTCCCACCCCCCACCACTCCAGCAACCCTCAGTTTGTTTCCTGAGATTAAGAGTTCCTCATATCAGTGAGGTCATATGATACATGTCTTTCTCTGACTGACTTATTTCGCTCAGCATAACACCCTCCAGTTCCGTCCATGTCATTGCAAACGGCAAGATCTCATTCCTTTTGATGGCTGCATAATATTCCATTGTATATATATACCACATTTTCTTTATCCATTCATCTGTCGATGGACATCTTGGCTCTTTCCACAGTTTGGCTATTGTGGACATTGCTGCTATAAACATTGGGGTGCACGTACCCCTTCGGATCCCTACATCTGTATCTTTGTGGTAAATACCCAGTAGTGCAATTGCTGGATCGTAGGGTAGCTCTATTTTCAACTGTTTGAGGAACCTCCAGACTGTTTTCCAGAGTGTCTGCACCAGCTTGCATTCCCACCAACAGTGTAGGAGGGTTCCCTTTTCTCCGCAACCCCGCCAACATCTGTCGTTTCCTGACTTGTTAATTTTAGCCATTCTGACTGGTGTGAGGTGGTATCTCATGGAGGTTTTGATTTGGATTTCCCTGATGCCGAGCAATGTTGAGCACTTTTTCATGTGTTAAAAATCACAGTGATAACAGGTCGTGGATGTGCACGCACACATACACTGATCTTTATTATCCGCTTTTTTTTTTTTTTTAACCTCTTGCCCTCTCTTGATGAAATACAAGGGTAGCAGCCACTTATCACTCCCAAATCGGTGTTTACTGTAAATGTTCGTTGGGGCGCCTGGGTGGCTCAGTTGTTAAGTGTCTGCTTTCGGCTCAGGTCACGAGCCCCACATCGGGCTCCCTGCTCGGCGGGAAGCCTGCTTCTCCCTCTCCCACTCCCCCTGCTTGTGTTCCTGCTCTCGCTGTGTCTCTGTCAAATAAATAAATAAAATCTTAAAAAAAAAAATGTTCATGTGTGTGAAATCCGGGAAGGCCTTGCAGGAAGGGACCATGGGCTGAGGAGGGGATGGGGATGGGGGAGAGCAGCCTTGGGTGGTGACCCAGTGACCTCAGAGCCCCTCTGGTGTGAGTCCTCAGGCCCCTGAGTCCCTTTGTAGGGGATAGAAGCAATTGAAATTGATCAGGAATTTATTTATTTTTAATTTTTTTAAAAAGATTTTATTTATTCATTTGAGAGAGCGAGAATGAGAGCGAGAGAGAGAGAGCACACGAGAGGGGGGAGGGTCAGAGGGAGAAGCAGGCTCCCCGCTGAGCAGGGAGCCCGATGTGGGACTTGATCCTGGGACTCCAGGATCATGACCTGAGCCGAAGGCAGTCGCTCAACCAACTGAGCCACCCAGGCACCCTGATCAGGAATTTAAAAAGGGACAACAGGAAGGTTTTTGACTAAGGGACCTCAGAGGTGATCTCTGGCAACTTTTTCAGGCTTATTTTCATTGAGGATAAAAGTTTCTGTATCTCTGTACACCTCAAAATTTACCCCTTTTTTACTCCTTAGTCCAGAAAAGCGATTTTGTTGTTACTTCCTTTTAGTTGTTAGTAAACAGGGAGTGAGTGGAATAGGCCACCGGATAAGTAAGCAGTTATGTTGGATTCTTTTTATGCTTGTCTTGGTATTAATTACCACAGTGATTTGACATCATTCTAATCTGTTGTTAATCAGATTTCAAAATGAGAATACTTTTTTTTTTTTAAGATTTTATTTATTTGTCAGACAGAGAGAGCACAAGCAGGGGGAGAGGCAGAGGGAGAGGGAGAAGCAGGCTCCCCAGTGAGCAGGGAACCCACCTCAGGGCTCGATCCCAGGAGCCTGGGATCATGACCCGAGCTGAAGGCAGACGCTTAACGGACTGAGCCACCCAGGGGTCCTGAGAGAGAATACTTCTTATTTGTGCCATTTCATAGTCTTAATACCAATTTAGGTACATGTTACTTACTTTAAAGGAGAGAATCTTTTAAAACTGACACATTAGTTTAACAATGTAAATGTATTAACCTTAAAATTCTATAGGTGGCTATAGTTTTTTTGTTTTGTTTTTCTGCATCTGCCTGCCCCCCTTTCAATCTTGTAAAGGGGCGTGTGGTAAGGGGGGATTCTGGGTCTGCTTCCTACTCCAGCTGTGTTCCCCCTAAAACTGCCCTTACTTACATGGCATGTTGGGGCTGTGTCTTTACAAGTCAGTGATTCTTGATTGTTCACTGCAGTATACCCAGTATTTAGAATAAAACTTGACATATAGTAGGTGCACAATAAATATGAGTTGACTGACTCTTGACGGATTGAAGGACAGTAGAGTTGACCCTTGACCCTTGAACGTGGGTTTGAACTACATGGGTCCATTTATACGTGGATTTTCTTCCATAAATGTGGTATTGTATCATTCACAGTACTGTGTGGTGATACATGGTGTCTACACTTGTGAGCACAGCATAACGTATAGAACTTATAGAATTATAGTGTTGTCTAATCACTGTGTTGTACACCTGAAACTAATGTAACAATGTGGGTCAACTGTTCTTCGATAAAAAAAATACAGTGCAGTACTCTAAGTGTATTTTCTCTTATGATTTTCTGAATAACCTTTTCTTTAGCTTGCTTTATTATAGAATACAGTATGTGATACATGTACAAAATATGTGTTTTGGTAAGGCTTCTGGTCAACAGTAGGCTATTGGTAGTTAAGTTCTTGGGGAGTAGAAAGTTATAGGGATTTTTGACTGGGTCCCTTTGTTGGTAGTCCCAGCCGCTGTGTTGTTCAGGGTCAGTTGTATTAGCATGATTCAATAAAATCCACCAACTGAGTCTCCAGAATGTTTTATTACCACCACCAGCAGGCACTAGTGCTGACTGGTGGGAATATGGTCTTTGTCCTTTGCCTGTTGATATCCTGGCAGAATACCATGTGCACTGAAATAGCCAATAACTAGGGTTTTGTTTTATTTCGTTATAAAGGTTTTATTTATTTGGGGGCGGGGGCAAGCAGACTCGGTGCTGAGCAAGGAGCCCAACATAGGGCTGGGTCCCAGGCGCCCTGCCAAAAACTAAGTTTTAAGAAAGAAGAAAGTTCACTAACTGGATGATTTGCCCTGCATCATTACCCTTAAACAATTTCTTTATAGGAAATACAATTCAAATAATACGCTTATATGTGTTATTTTACTCAGATTCATGTGGACAGACTGGACATGTTTAGAAACATGCCGGACATTCTTCATCATCTCACAACAGACCGTAGCACTCAGATCCATGCCTGTCGCCATCCGAAGGTACGGCATAAATTGTTTTTCTTATTGTGGGTGTGATGCATGGAAAATGGAATTTTAGGTCCAGAAGGAAGCTCTGAAATCCCATTTTCTAGGCCCTTCAGTTTACAAATGTGACCATTGAGGCTGAGACCCTGCAGTATTACCCCAGGCCATGCAGCTGGCCATCACTCTGTTCCGTTGCCGTAGATGGTGTGGCAGGAAACAGACAAGGACCCGCTTCGTCTTTTTGTGAAATAAATCCATACGCATTTGATACATGTGTATTTGTAATGAATTATGTAATGAGTAATGTATTTATAATGAAATTAGTAATATGTTAGAGCTTATAACTTAAGAAAACATTTATAATCCATTGTTACTTATATTTGAGACTCGTGACCTATGTGCGCGTTTATAAACTATTTTTTTCCTACTCATTTGAGATACTTAGATATAACTTTGCCTCAGACTTTGAAATGGTTTTATGTATTGCTGGTCCAGTTTCAAATGAGCGTTTTTAGTGTTTTTGCAACTCATTTGCAATTCATTTTCGAATGCCACCATAGAACTCCCTTCACTTATTAAATGCCCTTCTGTTGGGGCTCCTGGGTGGCTCAGTCGGTTAAGTGGCTGCCTTCGGCTCAGGTCATGATCCCGGGGTCCTGGGATCGAGCCCCGCATTGGGCTCCTTGCTCGGCGCGAAGACTGCTTCTCCCTCTCCCTTTGCCTGCCTGCCGCTTCCCCTGCTTATGCTCGCTCTCTCTCACTATGTCTGTCCCTGTGTCCAATAAAAATAAATAAAATCTTTAAAAAAAAATGCCCTTCTGTTACTAAAGGCCAGATATTAAATTTTGCATTTGCCCTTAACATTTTTTTCCCTCTCAATTTATATAGTCATTCAGCATCACTAATACTACATCATGATCTTCAGAAGTGGGGCTTTGCATGATCATGATTTTCCTCTAAGTTTTAAAATATCTGAGCATTCAAATGCAGAGTAATTTTTATTTTAGTAAACACTGCATTTATATATTTATATATATATATTTATATATATTTATTTATTCATAAGAGACAGAGGGAGAGAGAGGGGCAGAGGGAGAAGCAGGCTCCCTACTGAGCAGGGAGCCCGATGCGGGACTCGGTCCCAGGACTCTCGGATCGTGACCCGAGCCGAAGGCAGACGCTTAACCAACTGAGCCACCCAGGCGCCCTGCATTTATATATTTAGATACTCATTGTGGTAGTAATATTGGCTCCATCGCCAAAAAAAACTAAAGTAGACTTGCTCAGCCCTAAAGTAAAGCATAAATAAAAAAAAAAAAATTCTTACCTACAGCATGGAATATACTAGTTCCGACCACTGTAGGATAACTCTAAGGCAAGAACTTATTTTGGTGATTGGTAAGCTGCATATCATAACCTGAGTCATGAATTTCTTTCATCCTTTTGTTGGTGTGTCTACACACAGACACACCAACAGGTGCATCCTCACTGAATTCACGGATGGACAAAATCACGTAGGTACAGAATAGCAACTGTTTTGTCCCTTTTTTGTTGGACTTGCAGCCTTTCATCCTCACAAGTCCCGTAAATCTTTTAATTGGCAGATTTCTCTTTGCCCTGAGTTTTGTTACATCCCACAAAGCAGCTGCATTTGTAACTGCCACTCCCGTCGCTTCCCACATGGCTCCTTGCCTTGGAACAGTCCTTCGAGTGGCTTCGTTCTCCGGCCCCATGGCCTCAGGGATACCGCTCACAGCTCGCGGCGGCCTGGTGCGCTCCTCGGCGGCCCGCTCCTCGTCAGGCCCCACACGGGAAGGCCCCCAATGGCCTTTGATTGGAACGGAGTGCTAATGGCTTCGCAGGAAACCCGATCTGAACGTGACGTCTTCGGGAAAATAGTCCCACTGTTTTTCAGCCTTTTAAAAACACTTTTGTTACTTTTTCCTCCAACTTTATTTTTCCAAAAATCGGTTACGTAGCCCGTACTCATTCTTCCCTGATTGGGTGGTAGTGTCCTTTTTAGCGTGTGGAGTGGGGAGCAGGGCATCCGGAGCGAAGGTCAGGTGTGTGTTGCGGTCACAGTGGCCTCTTGCGTCTCTTGATGTAGATCAAGTCCCCAGCCTTTTGCTTTTCTTCAGGACATTGATATTTTCAAAGAGACCAGGTCAGTCATTTTGCAGAGTGGTCCTAAATTTGGAATTATCTGATTGTCTCCTTACATCTACTTTCTTATTTGATGTCTGTAAACTTGTAAACATGTGTTTTTGAGACCCTGCCTACAAACAAATTTGTTGAAAGTGTTGAACTGCTTTTCTGTTTCTGAAATCTTTTAGGCAGAGGAATATTTTCAATGGAATAAATTACCTTGTGGAATTATTTCCAAAAATAGAATTCCACTCCACACAATCAGCATTAAGCCATCCACTATGTGGTTTGGAGAAAGAACCAGAAAAACAAATGTAATTGTGAGGTAAGAAAGCAACCTCTCTTTTGAGAGAAACCTTGCTTTTGAGGTAACTTATCTGATTTATTTTAGCTTTTTGTTTGTTTCATTTTAAAGATTTTATTTATTGGGGCACCTGGGTGGCTCAGTCAGTTAAACGTCTGCCTTTGGCTCAGGTCATGCTCCCGGCGTCCTGGGGTTGAGCCCCGCATCCGGCTCCTTGCTTGGTGGAGAGCCTGCTTCTCCGTCTCCCTCTGCCTGCCGCTCCGCCTGCTTGTGCTTGCGCACTCTCGGTCAAATAAATAAAAAATTTATTTATTTGAGAGAGAGAGAGAAGGAGCAAGGGGAGGGGCAGAGGGAGAGAGAAGCCAACTCTCTGCTGAGCAGGGAGCTGGACGCAGGCTGATCGCAGGACTGGGAGATCCTGACCTGAGCTGAAGGCAGATGCTTAACCGACTCAGTCTCGCAGTCGCGCTGATTAATTTTAGTTTAAATGCAATCTAGCCTAACCCAAAGAGGAGGATATACTGTAATTGTGGAGAATAACTTCCAAAATTTAAATGCTATTTAAAGAGGTGCTACTTCGAAACCTGCCTAATGGCCAATACCATTAGCCAGGGTTTCCTGAGGTCTACTCCAGTCAGATGGCTGGAGAGTGAGGGCGCCTTGCTTGTGAGGGAGCGGGGAACTGACGTCGTGGGGGACAGAAGCCCTTGGTGGAGTAGAGGAGTACCATAAAGATCATCATATTTTGGCAGTACTTCCTTAATATTGGGTACTCAGAATGTCTACAAATATTTCTGGAAAGAGTTCCCTCTTGTCCCAGGGAGAAACCCTTGATTGTGTAGGGTGATCTCATATTGGAATAGACTAAGTGGGAAGGCATGAAATTTAGAACTTAGCTTAGTTTTGATACGTGACCTTTTAATTTTGTGTTTTCATTTCCCTTTAGGACTGGAGAGAGTTCATACAGAGCTTGTTTTTCTTTTCATTCTTCCTACAGTGAGGTAAGAGGATCCCATGAACTCAGAACCCTGTTGCCAGCTGCTTTGGCAGCCCCTTCATGGTTGGCAGCAGTAGTCCCCTTGACTACCAGAGGCATCTCTTTTCCTACTGCTTAAGACTTGCTGTGGCTTTTCCTAAAGAAATTTAGGGAACATGTCAGTAGATGAGCTGTGTTTACTGAGTGCAGAGGAAATTGGCTATTATCACCTGTTTCCAGCCGAAACGTTGAAGAATACTGATGATTAAGGCTTTCTTTGCGTCTTGCTTCCTGCATGTATTTTTAACTTCCCCACCTCGGTTGCTCTGTTCACCTGTCCTAAGAGGATCATAGATCTCACGTGAAGGAGTACCACAGATGAAATCTCATGGGCAGCCTTAAGATGCTGTCCAGATTTTTGTCCTCTTCCAAAATTTGATTGTGCTGAAAAACTATTTAAAAAATAGTCCTGAATATTTGGCAGTGGGGAAGAACAAAGGTGATTGAGATAAAGACCTTGTTCTTGGGAAGGACATACTATATTGGAATTACTCAGTTTAAGAAGGCTTATTATTATTAAATGGATCCTTTTTTTTTTCCCCCTCTTTTTTTTAGTTAGCCAACCTATAGAACATCATTAGTTTCAGATGTAAGTTCAGTAATTCATCAGTTGCATTGTTAGGATCCTTTTTATATAGGAAATTGACCTACTCACTAGAGTGGGAACTTGATATGTGTAATGTATTTGCAAACTCCTCATGCATTTCTAAAGTAAATGCTAACAGAAGTGCTGAGTTTTAGTAATTTCATGTACTTATCAGGAGAAAAAGGTATATAAAATCAGACTTCGTATGACACTTTAAGTCACATATAATTTTAGTTTGACCATTTCGGCACTTAAAACTTGATTTCCCTGATAACTATTATTTTTGTATTTGGGATACATGGATACAGCACTGCAGCAGTGAGCCGTGGCCGTGTTAATGATTTGAACAGGTGGATTCTTCCAGAGCTCCAGGTAGTGGCATTCTTAACAAGTCAGCCATAGTATTGTAAATGATTCTTTATCATATTATCAAAATACCACAGTGACCTCTCTATTAAATAACTGACCTTAACTTTCAGGTACAAATAGGTTATCCGACAGCAGGTTGGAAGGAGTTCATTGTGATGGTATAATTTAGTTATATTTTATCCTGAAATCTCAGATTGTTGTCAGAGTCCTCTGGGGATTTGTCTTTGGTTTGGCATCTGGCTCAGCATCAGGGTCCCTTCCTTTTGATCTCTTAGTGGCTGAGTATCCTTTCTGTCTCAGCCACGGGGAAGGCATCTAATCAGGGAAGAGGGTAGGCCTTACTTTTTCACTTAGGACTACTTCTGGCCCATAAGCCCTCCTGGGATTTTATGCAATTACCCCTCAGGAAGGAGATATTCCCTGGTGCTTGAGCAGAGAGATGAAGCAGATAACCCCTCCGCCCCCCGCCCTGCTGTCGGCCCTCCACACGCCCCCTGGATTAGCCCTAGTGGTCACCCACGTGGAGGGTCCCCGTGAGCTGTGCTTGGTCATCTTCTCTCAGGGTGGTGAGAAGGAGACAGGCTTTCCTGAAAAGTGCTCTAATTAATAGGCTTATCCTAAGTATAGATCATATTGAAATATATTTAAAAACAAATAGATTTTAAAAAATTATTTTAGAGCATGTACTCGATCGGGGGGAGGGGCAGAGGGAGAGAAGAATCTCGAGCCGACTCCCTGCAGAGCCCCATGTGGGGCTCGATCTCATGACCCTGAGATCATGACCTGCACCGAAACCAGGAGTTGGCCACTTTACCAACTGAGCCACCCAGGCGCCCCCGTAAATAGTAGATTTAAGTATCATTTCCTGTCAGTTTTTTCCTAAATACAGCTGATCCTTATTTGTGGATTCCTTATTTAGAAGTTTGCTCATTAAAATTTGTTTGTGACCCCCAAATTAATATAGTTGCAGCGCTGCATGGTTGTTTGCGGACATGCCGAGCAGAGTGGTGAGAAATGGGAGTCACCGGACATGCATATTCCCAGTTTAGGCTGAACAAGGGGGTGCTCTGCCCTCTCCGCTGAGCTCATAGGGTAAACAGGGGTCCTTTTGCAGTCAGTTTAGTGCTGTGTTGTACACATTTCTGTGCTTTTTTGGAGGGGTTTCACGGTTTAAAATGGCCCCCAAGTGCCGTGCTGAGGTGCTGTGTATGTTCCTAAGTACAGAGGCTGGAATGTGCCTTATGGAGACAATCCATGTGTTTGATAAGCTTGGTTCAGGGATGAGTTATGGTGCTGTTGACTGTGAGTTCAGTAGTAATGAATCAACAGTACGTAGTAATGAATCAACAGTACCTACTGAATAGGCGTCTTTTTTGTAAAGATTTTGTCAGAGAGCGAGAGAGCGCACGCACGCACAAGCCCAGGGTTGGGAGGGGCATAGGAAGAAACCGCTCCGCACTGAGCAAAGAGCCAGATGTGGGACTCTCCCAGGACCCTGGGATCGTAACCCGAGCCGAAGGCAGAGGCTTAACCAACTGAGCCACCCAGGCTCTCCCTGAATTGGTGTCTTTAAACACAAACATACATAAAACAAGGTGATGCATTGATAGGTTGACAAAAATGCAGTGACCAGAGGTTCACAGGAACCTTATCTTCCCCTTAGGAGTAGTGGTTCACTGTTTGCTAATTCACCATTCCCGGTGATCTCAAGGAACATAACCCCTGCGGATATTATTGAGAATAGACAGTGTTCATGAATTGTTTTAAGGCAGTCATCTGATGTAAGGAGATCAGCTTGTACAAGGGACGGAGGGTGCCCCTGTAGTAGGTGTCTCTTGTCTCCTGTGGCCACTTCATTTCTAAGTAGAAGTAGCCTCAGATTTCTACCAGCCTCAACTTTGAATTAATTATGCAAATCATATAGGTTGTGGGCAGGTAAATAATAGTTTCTATTTGCAGGCCTGCTCTGAAAATACAAAAGAATTTGTTTATGAAAAATACTAAAGATTGAATGGGTCTTCTTTTTTCTCCTGTTTAAAGTAAGGTAGCCACTTTATTTTGATATGGAGTTACTGATAATTCCTGGGTTCCTACCTCTTTTGATTTGGTAAAATTGGGTTCTAATAATTACTCAGAACTGTTTCCCCATTTGCAGAAGGGAATAAAATCTTTTGTGTTGTCATTGTCATCTTTGTGATGGATAATTTCATTGAATGTTAAACATATGCCAGGTGCTGAACACTTCACATGCATTATCTCATTTACACTTCTAGATGAAGACTCTAATAACTTAAAGACTTCAGGTAACTTGACCAAGGTCACATGCTCACCAAGATCTATTAAATGACAGAGCTGAAACTTGTCTACTTTGTAGAGATATTTTGGGGAATAGAGACAGAGTTCCTGTTTAGCATTCTGAACTCTGCAGAAAATATAGTCATGAAATTTTTGCATGCAGTTGTCCTCTAGATTAGAATAAATTTAGAACAAATCAAGCATCCTGGAAGATGCAATTTCCCTATTTTATTTGTTGGAGGAAGAAATGCAATTCTAAGACCTTGTTTTCTTGTGTGTATTAAATATTCAGCTTAATTCTAATTTACTTGAGGGGAATTAGTTAATTATGGGTGACTTTCTTAGACAAGGAAACTAATGTCACTTAAAGAAAGGGGTGCCTGGGTGGCTCAATCGGTTAAGTGTCTGCCTTTGGCTCAGGTCATGATCCCAGGGCTCTGGGATCAAGCCCAGCAATGGGTTCCCTGCTCAGCAGGGGGCCTGTTTCTCCCTCTCCCTGTGCCCCTCCCCCCTGCTTGTGCTCTCTCGCTGTCAAATAAATAAAATCTTTAAAAAAAAATAGAATCTTTGAATTCCACTAATCAGTAATTCCTAGTCCTTACTGTGGAAGAGAATCACCTGAAGAACATTTAAATACCCTGATTCCCAGGCCCCACTGTAGCTCAGTATCAAAAGGATTTGGGGGTGGGCCCGAGTGTTGGGTATTTCTTTTTCCTAAGAGGTCCCCCAGGTGATCCCCATGTGCAGCTAGTATTGAGAACCACACCCTAAGAAATTGCTGCTGCTCTTTGTCCTGCCTCCCTTTTGTTGCTTCTCTAACACCCAGATTTTTCAGTGTAGAGATAATTGACCCATTTTATTTTCCTTCCTCTAGATTAAAGATTTCTTGAGCTACATCTGTCCTGTGAACGTATATCCAAATGTCATCCCAATAGGCACGACTGTGGATAAGGTTGTAGAAATGTGAGTAGTTGCTCCTTGTGGAACTTCTGTTGTTGAACAGGGTGGATGCTGAGACTAGTTTTGGGCCCAGGAACGGGGGCGAGGGTGTAAGTAAGATGAGCATGGCTGTAAATACGATTCTGATTGGGAGCCTGACGGCTTTCTTCAAGTGGGTGTGTTACATATAATCCTGCAAGGCTTCTGGGAATCTGGCACAAGGAAGCCGTTGGCAGTGAGGCCCTCAGAAAGGGCAGGCCATCCTCAGGTCTTATTTCTGTGCCCTTTTGTATTTTATCATCACTGTGCCTTAGCTTTCAGCCTCTAGAATGAGATCAGATTTGTGAGATTCTTATGAGAGAGAAGTAAACCCCATTACACAGGGCAGAGTAAGCATCCCGCTATACTGTATTCCCTGAATGCCAGGTGTCGCTGTATTACTTAATCATTTTGCTGCTCAGCGGTACCAGTCTGCTTCTCCCTCTCTTGCTGTCTCCGTCAAATAAAAAAAAAAAAAAAAAAAAAAGTTTTGTAGAATAGGGACCTGCTTTTCTGCAGTGCAAGAGCAAATACAGGAGTTTTGCCTTCCCTCAATTCTACAATTAGATAGCTGTGTAACAGGTTGTATTTAAGCGCTTATAGTTACCACTTTACTACAGTGAAGTGGTTTTTTAATTATTAAACATGGCTTTTCAGTTTTTAAAAGTAGATACATGATTTTCCGCATGGCCAAGTTTTTATAATCTCTGTAAATGATGCTTATGTTCTAGCAGCTTTCCCCACAGGAAAAAATAAAATATTCATATTCGTTTCAGCTTAAAGCCTTTATGCCGATCTTCCCAAAGTACTGAGCCAAAGTATAAACCACTTGGAAAATTGAAGAGAGCTAGAAAAACTCACCTAGACTCAGGTAAGAAACTTACCCTGGTTTCAGAGGTGTGGGTTTCTATGCAAGACTTTTTTCCACTCTGGTCTGGTGAAAGCTGCTTTGGACAGAGGTGGGCCTGGGAGCCAGTCTCACTCAGACTTTGCATTATGGCTATATAATGGTTATCTTTGTACATTTAACTTCAAGTCTGTTTTATACCTCTCATTATTGGGTTAAATTGTAGATTTGTTGTCCAATTGTTATCCAGTATAGTTATACAGACATGACGGTGGAAAGTATCTAAGAATTGTAATATGTCCTTTTTAAAATTGGGTTTAGGTGTGTTTATCAGCTTGTGTAAATGCTGTTAAGGATTTTAACACTTATTTTCTGTTATATGCCTCTCCGTTTTCATATAGAGAAATTTAAAACTTTTATATTGTCATAAGAGAATTCATAGTATCGGAATAAACTTGGTAGTTTAGATACATACAGATGCATTAATATGAAAAATGTTTTGCCACATTTTTTCAGTTGAAACATACCGTGATAGTGGTATAGTCACTAATCTAGAAGAATAGGAAACTGTTCAACTTAGAGATGATACAGAAATATTGCCTAAAACGTAACTGTGGCAAAAACAAATTTATAATCTGTGTTTTGAAAGAAAGCCCTATCTTGGAGCTGAGAATGATTCCAAATATAGTTGCTAGACATCTTAGTAACCTTAAGTCCTTCAGGAAAGGAGATAAATCGTTGCTTAAGGATTAGGCAGAGCCAGGAATCAAACTGATCGGGTTTTGACCCAGAGTCTTGTCACACCACTTCTCTAGGCTGGTCTCCACGTTGGTAAAACGTGAGCAGGATGATCTCTGTGGTCCATTTTTTAAAGGCAGCTTTTAAAAATGTAGTGTTTAGCTACATCCTTTATCACTGGGAAAAAATGTTTTCTTTTTAAGTAGGTAGTTATGAGGTAACACTAGAACAATTAAGTTGCCATGGACAGTAGTCTCATGAGCATTCAATTTTCTTCTTAGGTAAGGTGTCATTAGAAGGCAGGAAAATATTTGTTTCCCCCTAGCCCCCAAATTACATGCCTACTCAGTTTATGAGAATTTCATTCTCCAAGTAAGGTTTCCTCCTTTTAAGAATTTAAGGGGATTGGCTCATTATATTGCTAATGTAACATGCTTAAAAAAAAAAAAAATTAATTCGTTGGTTTCCAGTTTGTGACACTTCAGATTAAGCCCCATTTGGCACATTTGTTCCCCTCAGTATCTATACAGCCTTGTGCACTTGGCTGGCTCAGGCTGCTATGACAAATACCAGAGACTGGATGACTTAGCCTCAGATATTTACTTCTCACAGTTCTGGAGGCTGGGATGTCCAAGGTCAAGGTGCCAGCAGATTTGGTTCTTGGAGAGGACCCATTTCCTTGTTGTTGACAGCCTCCTTCTCAGTGTGTGCTCACGTGGCCTTTCCACATGCCATCCGTGCATAAAAATGGAAAGTGAGAAATCTGTCTTCCTCTTCTTACAAAGACACTAATCCTATCTTATGGGTCCCACCTCCAAATACCATGACACCTGGGGCTAGGGCTTCAAATTAGGAACTTTAGAGGACACAACCATTTTAGCCCATAACATGCACAAAGTAGGTATCAAAATGTTCACAGAACAAAAATTTTTATTAATTCACTGAGTATCTACTATTGGCAAAGCACATACAGTTTGCAAACTGGTTGTTGGAACGGTCATCTACAGAACTTAAAGCACAAATAAAAGTTATTGGGTCCCACCTTCAGGGATTCAGTATGTCTGGAATGAGATACAGAAGGCTGTAGTTTTGAGAAAGGTTTTGTAGTTTTGAGAAAGGTTTTTCCAGGAGCGCCTGGCTGGCTTGGTCAGAAGAGCACGCCAACTCCTGATCTCAGGGTCATGAGTCTGAGCCCCATGGTGGACATAGATTACTTAAATAAATGAATAAAAAATAAAAAGCTTTCCGAATGAGGCTAATGAACAGCCAGGTTTGAGAACCATTGGTATAGGCATTGTGGCCTATTTGGGGAACACAGATCTATATTTTTAAAGTCTGCCATTAGTTGACGGGCAGTAGTTAAATTGTTCAAAATGTCCTTTTTCTTAGAAGAAGAGTGACCTGTTATTTGCAGTTCCACCAAATGAAAACATAGCTAAATGCTACAAATCGGATTTTAAATTAAAAGCACAAATTGGCTCCCTTTGCATTCTGTGTTTCCCATACATCTCCTGTGTTTTCCCACAGAGGAGGAGGAGGACCTCTTTGATGATCCTCTGCCGCTACCGTTAAGGCACAAGGCTCCATACCAGCTAACGCTTCACCCTGAGGTATTTGTAATGACCGCAACACCACAATACCAGCCTGAACAAGAGAGGCCAAGCACCGGCTACCTCAGAGCAGAGAGTATGCAAACCTTTCCTTGGGCCAACTTTATAGATTGTGAAGAATCTAACAGCGAAAGTGAAGAAGAATTAGAAACCCCAGCTTCATCGAAAGAAGACCTAGGTGCTGTCACACGCCACCAGCAAAAGGCTGATGTAGAAGTACCACAGTGGGAAGTATTCTTTAAAAGAAATGATGAAATCACAGATGACGGTTTGGAAAACCCCCCTTCTTCCACAGAGGCAGGGGGCTCTCAGTCACCGAAGCTTTTTAGTGACTCTGATGGGGAATCAACTCACATCTCTTCCCAGAATTCTTCTCAGTCAACACACATATCTGAACAAGGGAGTCAAGGGTGGGACAGCCAATCTGATACTGTTTTGTTAACATCCCAAGAGAGAAAGAGTGGGGATATTACCTCCTTAAACAAAGGTAGCTACAGACCAAGAATTAAAGAGAATATTCCTGCCACTCAGATGGAACAAAATACACTCTGTCCAAAGGATACTTATTCTGACTTGAAACACAGAGATCAAGATGTAAAGATAGTTCCCAGTGTTGGAGAACCGCTCTAAGCAGTGGCAAACACATACCTCAGGAGAAAGGGCTGCTAAATCTTAGCACCAATGCAGATTCCCAGAGCTCCTCAGATTTTGAAATTCCCTCAACACCAGAAGCTGAGCTACCTAAAGGAGAGCATTTACAATATTTATATGAGAAGCTGGCAACCGGTGAGAATATAGTCATTGAAAAAAGAAAAAGCTCACTCTTACTTAAAAATTAAAAACCTTGCATTCTAGAGCAACCACTAAAAACCCTACATAAAGGGGTAAGAGTCCAAATCATGACAGACACATCAGAGTGGAGTACTTAAAAATGGTCCTGTAACCTAAAACAGGGCAGTAAAGGGGAAGCAGAGAACAAAAAATAGTGATAAACAGAAAAGATATGGTAGAACTAATTTCAGACATCAATAAGTGAAATCATTAAGTGAAAATGGTCAAAACATACCAATGAAAACAGTGAAAAAACAACCCTCCTAGATACAGTCTCTAAGAAACTCACTGTGAATGATGCAGGTAGGTTAAAATTAAAGGATGGGAAAAGATACCTAAATACTACTTAAAAGTAAGCTGGAATGACTATATTAATATCACACAAATTTCTAATGATAAACAAGGTCCAGTTCACTAAGAAGACACAATGCTAAATGTGTATGTACCTTAAAAACGTCTTCAAAATATACAAAGCAAAAACCAAGAAGACAAACTAATGCACAATTCTAGCTGAAGGCTCGACCATTCCTCTATCAGTAATAGAATTAGCGTACAGAAAGTGAGCAAGGGTACAGAACTGAATAGCACCGTCGACCAACTGGATCGAATTGACACAGAACACTCCACCCAACAACAGAAGTGCCCATGGCACACTGACCACGATAGACGACCATATCCTGTAGGGTCATAAAAACACTTCAAATAATCAGGCCCTTATATATCTCAAAAGATATATCACTTAAGAATGCTGGTGTGAATATGACAAATTTAAAAGCAGAAAAATTAGGACCTAAAAGAAAATAATTAAAATGGCAAAAGCATAGTGTGTTCTTTGAGTTGTTTGATTTCCTTCAAGTCTGTCAGTGGGTTATGTTTTTGCATAGTTGTGTTTAATAAAATTCTATGAACAAATATTCTTCAACACTTTGAGGTATGCTGGCATTTTACAGATTAAGGAAGTGAAAGGAGAGATTTCACTTAAAACGAGTTTAAGTGGAGCCTAAAACAATTTGCAGATCAGTTAAACTAAATGATATATACATTATCACCATGTCGCACTGATCCCTTTTTTCTAGCTCAAGAGCTACTCCCAGCTTTTGATGAAATATATTCCACAGACTCAGTATGACTGGGGTAAAAATACATTCATCCCATTTTACCCCTCTCTCCTATGAGTACCATTACCTACATGCAAAGTGAATATAAAATCACTAAAGAGACCAACTGAAATTGCAGATCATTGGTTGAATATCAAGTCATAACTACAACAGGCCTAATACAAGAACCCAGAGACTTCTTTTTTTATTTATAGCTCTAAAAATTAGTTACATTTCATTATTACAAATCATATAATCAAATGTAACTATATATTCACTGACACCAAAGACCTCATCTTAACAGTCGAGCTTACAACCCAGAGAGGGGATTCAAAACATGCCTGGAAACATTCTTCTGAAATTTTTAGCACTATTTTATAATCACATTGTCAATTTAATATTACATCCTGCCGTATTCTCATTGTTTTATAGGTGAACCTAGCATAATAAATGCCAGCTGAATGAATTTAAGGGCTAGGAGCACTAGAACTTAAAAAAAAACAACACAAAACAACTTGTAGTGATCACCAAAGATTTTAAAGTACAGGCTTACAGTACAGAATAATTGTAGCAAATACTTACATACGGTGCTTACGCTGTGATGCTTCATTCTTTTATACACTGGGTATCAACTCCTTTATTCCTCACCACCACCCTTTGAGGTAGATAAATTTATTCTCCCCATTCACAAATGAGGAAGCTAAGGCACAGAGAGGTAGTTCACATAGCTGGGAAGGGGTGAAGCTGGGACTGAAAACGCAGGCAATTCAAGCTCAGCGTCCGTGGTCTTAGCCACTATGAAATAATGCCTCTGAAAAAGAGCGCAGCCCTGGGCAGGATTAATTCTAGTGGCTACTTGATTTTTACTTTAAGAACTGTAAAGTAGAAAAGGAAAAGTGAAAAAAAGTTTCAAAAACCAAGATAATCAGCAACAGCCCGTGACTAGCCACATTTGCCTTAGAGTTGCCAAGAGTTACATGTTTGTTTAAACAGTACAAAATTGAGGACATGATAGGTAGTTTACTGGCTCCGAGCTGGGTGATCTCGGGTGTGTTAATGTTATCTAACCAGTATAGGATTGAGAGCGCCAGCCTCACGGGTTTATGAGGAGCACAGAGAAAGGGCCTAATAGCTTGCTCAAAGAATAGGAGCTTTCCATCTAAAATTCCCTTACAGTTCCAGGCAGTTTTTATTTAGAACAATGTGTTCAAGTAACCTGGTGACTAATGCTCAAGACATTTTACAAGTAACCATCCATATTCACTTTATGCTATGTAAAATTCTACTTTAATATTCAAATGGATCAACCATGACAATGATAAACTTCTTTGAAGGAATGGTATAAAAACCTTCGGTTAATCGCAAAAGCAAGTAGTCCAGAATACATGGGTGTTTTTTTGACCTTTTTGTAAGCCTTACTGGAAATGACAGTAAAATATTCAGAAACAAAGCTAAGCCACGATAAATAGAAAATCAAATGCCAAACTAAATTTATTTTGCTAAAGAAAAATGAACTGTAAGAAAAATAAATGCAGTCTGGATTTTGCACAGAGGGGGGGAAGGACCCTGAGATTACCGTGTATCACGATCCTCATGTAGGTACTGAAAACAATGATACTAATACAACTTGCACAGTGGATTTACAGTTTAAACTCGATCTAAATATCACCCTTGAATATTGTCTATATACTGAGAGAACAAATTCTGACAACTTGGGAAACTAAAGAAGCTAAATGTTGACTTAAAGGCTTTTAACAGCTTCATGTATGGAGTTCCTATTTTACTGATTAAGTCCAGCTTTTTAATAAAATAAAGGTAACAAAGGTAATTAAAATCTCAAAGACCCATTAAGTTTCTAGTAATAAGGACAAAATGAAACAAGTTTACTGAAAATAGCCACTTTCCCTTTGCCCTCCTGTTTTACATTTTTTTTTAACACAAGAAGTAGACAAGAATAACTGGACGGTAAAACATTGACTTTTTAAGAATATTAAAATTACATATTTAAACCTGTAAGAATTATAATTCAAAGTAAGCTTGGCCATTGGAGCACCTGTAAATCTGTGATGCTTTCTCACCACTGACACCATGTGACTATTTTCTCATAAAGAAAACCTAAGAAATGGCACCAAAAAATGTATTTTTCCTTGACACCTTCAGCAGATTTTGGTTAATACACCGAGACTCCAAACATGTAAAGAATTTACCCTGTATTATGAAAGAGCAAAGTCATGTGGTAGCAACATAATGCATAATAAAGCTTCTCCCAAAAAAGAGGTTAAGGATTAAGAAGATATTTGAAGTGCTGCATTCTTGAAGTCAGTTCAGTTTTACCCCAACTTATTTTAGGTCATTAAAGCAACGGGGCAATGAGCTTAGGTATAATTTAATTAGGAATACTGAAAGCCAGATTTACTTGCTGCGTTTACCTTCATGTTGGACACCATGATTACAAATGCCACAAGACAGAGATGAAAACACATTTTTTTTCCCGATTGAGGTTTTACTATGCAGCAAAACAAAAACCGAGGAATATAGTCCATTTCAGTCTTCATGGTTCAAGTAAAAAAAGTTCTCATTATTCAGGTACACACTTTGGCCAAGCCAAGTTTAGCTTTTATCACATTTAAAAAATTCATGTATAAAAAATAAGTATCAGTCCAAAATATAGATTATTTTAAGAGCCTGCAGGAAATAGAAAAATAATTAAATTTGGTGGAAATGTTAAAACTGCCTGAAATTCAGAAAATGTAATATTAACGTATTGTATGAAACATTACTGTTAGGTGCAACTGCACTCAGGGGTAGCTTGTTTTGCTGTTTATGTCTAGACCAGAGAAACTCAACATGGATCTCTTAATTCATGTTACTAAGAGGGGCCCTTCAAGTGCTCCCTTCCCTCTGCCCAGCACTCCAAAAACCCTCTTGTGGTCCTACCGCCCCGGCCTTTCGAAGCAGCATAATGGCCAGCCATTCTAGAATTGTAGAGCTTTTTGGAAATTATTCTTTTAAGGGAATAAGTCTTTAAGAATTACTGGTTCAGACATACATGACTCATAACAGTCTAGATTGCTTCAAAATATGAATTAAGCCGTAAATTTTTTTATATTTAATTTTAAACCTTAAATTTATGTATGAGTAAGACCCAATATTTTAATGAAAGTAGGAAAATAGTATATAGTATCATCTGTTTGTCTCAAATACAAGTACAGTGAGTAATAATGGGAATGACAACATAATAGAATAGCACTTGTATATATTTGTCCAAACTGAATTAACTTTCTCTAAATTCAAGGTGTACGCAGGTTGAATATTTGATCTTAGTGACTGTTATGCTATCAGTTCAATGCTTAAACACTGAAGGAGGCATTTCTTTATTCACACAGACTTTTTATGTATGTATATGCTCATATGTAAATAGTTTTCATGTTTGGTATCTACTAAATATGTGTATTTCAAACTAGTCTGTGTGACCCTGTGTTCTTCTCTTCAGAAGCATCAGTAATACATTTGGCCAATGAAATATGAACTGTAAATTAACATAGCATATAATCTTGATAATATGAGAAGAGTCCCAAATACTTTTTTGAAATGTTAACATTAGAAAAAAACAAAACTACAATCATCAGCTCTATTTCCTGAAAATTCAGTTGAGGTAACCTCTGCAAGTCACAGCTCCACATTTGCACACAGTTCTGACCCTCTTTTTGGCTGGGCTGTGGTCAACAGAATCTGAAGATATATCTCCAGAACCTGATTACATAGAAAAAGAAATACAGAAGAATTAAGACAATTCAGGAGGAAGTTCAAATTTTCTATCAGTTTTAAGTAAATGTGAATATTCAGAGATAAATCATTATGAATTATCTTGAAAGGATGGTGTGGGCTAGTAAGAGATAAAAGCATATACTATTAGCCCATACTTAAAAGAATAGCTTTTGGAAATGATGGAACTTAACTGGGAAAATCCAATACACAATCATTCAATTTCATACATTACTTAAGGGCCATAAAGCAAGGCCAAATAGTAACACCCTGTAATTAATACTTAGAAAAAAACAAAGAAAAAAATATTGTCACAATAAAGCAAATAAAAGTACCATTTAAAAAAAAAAAAAAGCCAAATCCAAGTAGGAACGGAGTAAGTTCACTTGTGATTTAAGTTGTATTTTCAATCTTAAATATTCAGAAATGTAAATATTCAGAAATGTATGCCTTACAATTTTAAAATACAAATAATATTGAGAAAAGATGTATATGATAAGCTTTCATAATGGAAATTATGAAAAAAGCAGGTGGCAACGTGATACAGAGAAAAGAGCATTACTCAGCTCAAGGTCAGGCAGACCTGGATTCTAGTTTTACCTCCGTCAGATTAGCTTTGTGACCTTGAGTAAAATGACAACTCTTATAGCCTCATTTTTTTCTCTTCTTTAATATTTGCTTGGTTCAGATCTTTTGGTTCAGGTCTTTTCCTACTCTGATTCTTCATATTGAAACAAGTGAACACCAATCAAACCGTACTTGAAAACCATACCTTTCATTTGATAATCAAAGGTGAGCTCTTCTCCAGCATTTATGGTTCTTGTGGAAAATAATGCTATTCGGGGAAGACGGGTGTCAAGGTTGTCAATGAAAACATTGAACACCTGAAGATTTGGGTCACACTAAGAAGGAACATTAGAACCCATTTAAATAAAAATGACATGAACAGGCTCTTCTACATTCCATATAAAATAATTTCTCAACTATTATTTTTTAAGTTCTATTAGAATTACACTGTTTATTGTTTAGTGGTCTTTGAGGCACGCAAATTAAAAAATACTGTTTTCACTTATAGAAAATCTCAGACACACTAGTGAAAATAATAAATCCACATATATTCACCCTGCAGCTTTAAAAATTACTAACATTTTTACCAATTGTTTCACCTAGTCTCAACCTTTTAACTTTTCTGAGGACTTGTCCAAGCAAACCCTAGATAACATTATCATTTCACCTGTATGTAGTTCATCTCAGTTAGTAACGTGATACAGAGAAAAGTAATGTGAAATAGAATATAACTATTTAAAAAAAAAGTCAGCATTATACAACTCAAATTTTATACTGAATGGAGTTTCATTGCTTTAACCTCTGTTTGGAATTGTTTAATATTTTGAGAATTCTATATTAAATTCTGGACAATGCAAGAAGAAACATCTAGTGAATCATCCTAAGAAATCAAAATAAGTGTTTAATTGTCCTTGTATAGAATACATCTGTTTTTAGAGTATCTCAAATTTATCATTAAGAAAAAAATTTGAAAAAAATTAAAAAGAAAAACATTAAAAATCAAAAAACAACAAATGAGTCAGAAGGTTTCTGACATTTCACTACTAAACTTAAACTAGTTTCTTGGTATAAAATCCATCATAAGTTTAGCATGGCCTACTTTCTTATATGGGCAGCTACATAACTTACCCTTATCTGCTGGCACTTAGTAGGTACCCAGTAACTAATCATCTCCCTTATTTTTAGAAATAGTTGATAGAGTATAAAATTCTATAATCAGGGTTCCAGCTGTATTCTAAGTTCTTTTCAAACATGAATTAAAAATAGTAACTGGTAACTTAGAAAAATAGCCCTAAATACTTACTCTGCAAATTCTTAAATCTTATAAATATGTTAACATGTTACATGTTAACTTCTACAGTCGCATGTGATTCCTAACCCTTCTACCTCTTAATTCCTCCGCTAACTTCGTCCTCTACATTAACACAAAACCTAACTTACAAAGTTTTGGAATGATTAAATGAAGTTACATAAAAACTCTTGCAAAATGCATGGTATTGTGTAGGCACCTCAATGAATTTTCCTAATACAGCAATAATACCATAACCTAACCAAAGAGGTCTTTGTATTATACTTTGGAAATATTAAAAGGGTAAGTAATTTAAAGATAATTATTCCTCAACTATGGAAAATCATTAAAAACAGTGCTACGTTGATTAGTCCTGTCTATTCTTTAAGTATCACTTACACTGTGATTCACAAAATGAGAGACATTTCCATATCGGGCTGCATCCACTGTGAATTCATCAGATTCATAATCCAGATCAAAGAGATATGTGATTCCCTTGTTGTCATATAACTGCCCCCGTCTTTCAGCTTCTTCACTTGTGATTACCTAAAAAGAAAAAACTATAGTATATTATATAGCTATTGTTGAACTGAAGAAACACACTCATCCATAAATTTATTAACATACTAATGCCTACAAAGGTAAAGAAATTAAAGTGTCATCAAAACAAATATTCACACAAAGTACTCTAGAAGAGCTGGATGGAAAGATGTGGAAAACGGCAGAAATGACTGCAAAAGAATCAAGGCTGTTTAAGACAGGAATTAGGACAACCCACAGTTAAGAAATTGAGACAGTACTACTTTCATTCCAATTTATTCAGATGTTCAAAAAGCTACCCAATTATAGCTTTCTGTAGGACATAACGGAATGTAAAGGACTAAATTTACAAGATACGCATTTGCAACAATGTGGATGGAACTAGAGAGTATTATGCTAAGCGAAATAAGTCAATCAGAGAAAGACAATTATATGACCTTACTTATATGTGGAATTTAAGAAACAAAACAGAGGATCATAGGGGAAGTGAGGAAAAAATAAAACAAGGTGAAACCAGAGAGGGAGACAAACCATAAGAGACTCTTAATCACAGGAAACAAACAGGGTTGCTGAAGGGGAGAGGGGTAGAGGGGTGAGGTAACTGGGTGATGGGAATTAAGGAGGGCATGTGATGTAATGAGCACTGGGTATTATATAAGACTGATGAATCACAGACCTGCACCTCCGAAACCAATAATACATTATATGTTAATTTTTTAAAAAAAGTAAAGATACTCTAAAAGCTTATTTTTCCTGTAATTTGTGCAGTTACAAATGGAAATCTGTTACAAATACAGGAAAGAAGGCATGCCAAATTTGCAGTCAACTGTATGGAAAGTTTAGTTTCGTAGAGTAGGCATAATACCCTCTAGTTCCATCCACATTGTTGCAAATGAGTGTCTTGTGAATTTAGTCCTTTACATTCCATTATGTCCTACAGAAAGCTATAACTGGGTAGCTTTTTGAACATCTGAATAAATTGGAATGAAAGTAGTACTGTCTCAATTTCTTAACTGTGGGTTGTCCTAATTCCTGTCTTAAACAGTCTTGATTCTTTTGCAGTCATTTCTGCCCTTAGTTTTCCACATCTTTCCATCCAGCTCTTCTAGAGTACTTTGTGTGAATATTTGTTTTGATGACACTCTTGTTTTCATGCAATTCTGTAGCTCAAAACCATCGTCTACAGTTCTGTTCTAAGAACACAGCTTTACCAGATGCTCAGCTTAGGAAACCAAAAATGTCTAAAGTGATTCATGGTGTCAACCAGATTTAACTATGGCATTCAGTAAGCCAAAACAGAGGGGAATTTGATTATACAAGATCTGGTATCCTGAATAGTGATTTACAATAACCTGCCGTTGTATAAAAATTGAAGGATCGAAGTAGGGTTCCAATTTAATCTCAGAATTCTAGATGAATACAGATAATTATACATGACCTAGTTCCACATAACTTTTAAAATGTCAGATGTGACAACCTGAGATATGCAAGTCACACTTGTATTTTCTAGTCACAGCTTAGTCCTTCACTCAGTTTGAGGAAGTGTAGCACAGCGGCAAAGTGCACTCATCTTGGAGCCTTGGTTTTGAATCCTAGCTCCTCTTCACTACAATGCGACCCTGTACGAGTTGCTGAACTTCTCTGTGCCTGTTTCCTCATCTATAATAATGGAGATAACACTACTACCTCAGAGTTATTGAGAGTATTAAGGAGTTAAAGCATAAGGTGCTTAGAATAGTATGTGGTACATGCAAATACTATTTTTTGTATATTTACATTATACATATAAAAATAAATCTGCTCAGTCTGGTAATTTAGAGAATAGTCTCCAGCTGAGCTACAAAGAATTTGGATCTTCTGGTGGATTCAATAAATGCTTTTAAAGTTATTTTACAACACTTGCTAAGAAAGCATTTGTCTACCCTACAGTATCTCTCATGTTGATACGATATTGAGTTTTGCCAACTACACTTAACCATATTTAGTCAAGTGGATGAATTATAATCTAAAAGTTTTCAAAGTCAGCCGGTGTTTAGATCTGATTTTCTTCTTAGGGCTTTTATGTAAAACAACAGTCGCCATATTTTACAAATGCCGGTTTCAATGACTATGAATGGGTGTTTCTGAAAGAGGACTATTTTGTTTGTGATTATATATATATTTTTGTTCATATACAAGTTTGTATTTCTAACTATGCCAGTGAACCCTTCTCTCACTTGCAAATGGTAATATAAAAAGTACCAATATTTGTTACTGGTGTAAAAAAAAGCATAAACCTTCCACACCCATTGTTTGTTGTAAGTTGAACATACCTCTCCAACATATTCCATGACAAAACTCATTCTTTTAATCTTCACAAGGGTTTTTACACCCCAGCCACAGCCATTGCTAGTTCGAAAGATGCAAAGAGAATACTGGGTGCCTTTTTGTACAATCCTATTGGGACAATCGGGTCCACATTGACACCTTGAGTTGCATTCATAAATGGGGGTACCAGGTGGGATTTTAATTTGCTGGTTTTTATTATAAGCCAAAAGAACTCCAGCTTCAGCAGGACAACATTTCTCAAAGAAGCAGTCTGTACATGAACAACCAAAGGTAGCTTCATTGACTAAGCTGATTCCAGGAGCTGGTTTGTATTCATTAATGTAGTAGAAGTCTGAAGGTGGGCCCTCTAAGTCAACAGTATTTTCAACAAAAATCATTCCTTTATGATTCTTTCTTCTGTTGAGTTCATCTTGCCATCTCTGCAGAGCTACCCTTTGTTTGGCCTTCTTTACAATATATTCGGCAACGGCAGGTTTCAAAGCTTTGTTATTGTCTTTTAGAGATATTGCTTTGCCTTTGTTTACCTGAGATAAATAATTATGCTTGTCATTAGAGAACTGTTGAAGTAGTAATGGGCACTTGAGATTTTGCAAAGGTTCCCAAGTATTTGTAGAATCTGGCCATCCTTTCCATTTTACAAGATAATACTCCATATCCTTAAAATATAAAAGAAAATTGAAATCAGATTATGAGTCCTAATTACTTAAAATAATTTAATATCTTAAAGAGTAAGGTAGCCATTATCATTCTTCTTAATAAAGCTCAGAATATATTGAGTCAGAGGTTTCTAGTGGATGCAATACAAACCATAAAACTTTTTTCTTTATATTACATAAATTAGGTACAGAATTTAGTTGTGGCATAGTATGTTTGAGCATAGGTAAAAGAACTGCACGTGAATATAAGAGTACTGAAATTCATGAATATTTTACCAAACAGTAATTATTAAACAAAGTCGTATTTCGTATTTATCTTGATCACGGAAACAGGCAGTCTCAAAACTAACAATTTATGACCTACATTAGTGCTTCACTTGGCCAGCACAGATGTAGGCATCCTCTAAGGCAGGTAATTTTAATATTTTACACTGGATATAAGGCAAGTTCTATTTCTCAATATCATGGGCACACATCCCTTAGATGTTCTAGAGACACAATGTCCAATACAGTCATTCCTAGCAGCATGTAGCTATCAAGCACCTGAAATGTGACTAGTCCAAATTGAGATGTGCTTTAAGTGTAATACACACTGAGTTACAAACACTAAACACACAAAAAAGTAAAGTATTTCTTAACATTTGAAAAATATTGATTATATACTGAAATATTTTGCTTTTATTGGATTAAATATATTATTATTTTTTAAAGATTGCTTTGTTTAAAGTCCTCTGTATGCCCAACGTGGGGCTCAAACTCACAAGCCCGAGATCAAGAGTCACCCATGCTGACTGGGCCAGCCAGGTGCCCCCAATTAAATATATTCTTGAAAGCAGTCTCACCTGTTTCATTTCACTTGTTTAATGTGATTACTAGAAAATTTAAGATTATATATATGTAGCTTATATTGTTTCTACTGGACAGACATCACGATTCCAGAGAATTCTTACCTTATTTAGACTCACCCGTGAATGGATTAGGTAGCAGGCACTCAAGCCACCTAACACCAAACATTTTGATTTATCCCTCAGACTGCTGTTGTGGCCACCATGGTCCCTAGAATTCTGCCTTCCTACCCCAGTGACTTGACTAGGTTCTCTTCCCTTAAAATCAGAGAACGCCATGTTAAGTTTCTCTTAAAAAAGGTGGTTAAGTGTGTATAATAAAAAAATTCTAAAGCCCTTCAATTTTTTTCTTTGTCCTCTGGAATAACTCACATATATCCACACTCTAAAATATGAAAGTGATTAAACTGTATATTCTACAGTTTTTAGTTGTTTTAAATCATAGATATGGATTAAAAACTTAATTGGGATACATTTGCTTTTCCCTGACATTTTTAAGTTTTTATTATAAAGGGTACGTATAACACTTGTTTTATTATTGATTAATGCCAAATAACCTGGAAGGTTTAGGAAATGTTACTGAGGCACAAACTGGGGTAAAGGAGCCCCGAGGCAGCTTTGCTGAAGCAAATCACTCAGCCAGTGATTAAGTTCATATTCTTCCCACTGATTCGTCTCAATGTTTTAGTATATTCTACTCAAAAAGCAATAGTGCCTGTGAATTAACTTTCCTTCTTTATGAAAATGGTCAAAATATGCTTTACCTGTTTAGAAAATGTGGTTAAATTAAGGTGTGAGGATATGCAAAAAAACTGTACTTTCTTGAAAATACATACAGTGACTTCAGGGAAAAAAAGGAAAAGCTTAGTTAGACATATTTAAGTGTTAGTCAAACTGGCTAAGTGTAACACGGATTTCTCCCTCCTGTCAGGTAACTACTACAATTTAGGATTTATGTTAGTAGATATCTGGTCAACAATAATGTGACCCACGTGGCAGTATCTAACATATCTATTCTACTTCTTATCTAGGAAAGTTTTTAATTTTTCTGACTCTGGAATAAAGCAATGCAACTCTGGCCCTTTTTTTTTTCTGCTACAGTTTTTCCTACCATACCCTGGATTATGCCAACAGTTGTCAGCAAATAATGGAAGAAACAGAAACACTGGCTTCAAATCAGATAATTAAGCTAAATTATCATTCAGCAAAACCAGTAACACCAGGCCTCTGAAGTCAGCTTCCAAAGTAACATACCACATTGTTTAGTAATGAGCCAGCTGCATTGTTAGTGACTGTTTTGTATGTTAATCCCACCAGTACCTACTTAATTTACGGATGGTAAAGATGTTTATAAAACATGAGTGCCTTTGGCAAAATAGTATAGAAATACTAGTAATATTTTACTTCTACTTTGTAGAGTTATTTTAGTAAGTGCATTTTACTTTAAATCCAAAAAAGATATTTCCATTTTGAAAAATTGGTAATCTTACACAGAAAAATTAGTTTGGCCTAACAAATTTAATTAATTCATTAAAAATTCCAAATAAAAGCCCAAAAGTTCATAAGCCTCATATATATCAGTATTTTATTCTGATATGCAGTCAACTCTTGATTACCCATAGAAATGGAGTACGGTTGTAAAATGATCCATCAATCACTCCTGTATAATTTAGAATGCATTATAAGAATTTTGTCTTAAACACATTTTCCCCCACTATATTTGGCTTAGGTTAAATTCATTCAAATATCTTAGTATTTAAAATAAGTATGTGAAAGTTCAGCCCCTAGGGGGTGTAGGGGGTGTGATGAGATGTATGGTAGTGCTAGTCTTCAGGGGTAAAATCTCTGGGAAAAGAAGGCAATAATATGTACAGTAAGTAGCAATGCAAGGCAGTACAATTTTAAGTGACAAAACAAGACAATAATTACCACTAGTATATAAAGAAGGAAATCAATACAGTCAAAAAGGAGCACAGAGAAAGCAGAACAAACCAAACTGTGAAAGGCTGATAGAATTTGTTGGGTAGGGAACAGGGCAGGCAGGATGAAAAACACCAGCAAAAGCTTGGAGCTAAGATTTGTATGAAGTATCCAGAAAACAGTGAAGAGCTGGATTTGGCTAGCTTTAAAGTTCAGAATATTGAAGCGAGAGGTTAAACGGCAAGGCAAGAGCAAATTTTAGCCTTGAATACTCGACAGAGGCATTTGAACTTTTTTTATAGGCCAATGGTTTTTACAATTCTTAGGAGCCATAGTGTTTCTGTGGGAAGCTTCATTACATACAAATACATTTGATTCCATCTTGTTTATTAGAAATAATTTACCAGTCTTCTAATTGCCAAGCCAATGACTCTTCAGTCCTCATGTTACTTGACTTAGGCTTTGACATCACATTTCTCTCTTCACTATTATTCCTTTACTGCCTTCTTTGCTGAGACTACTTACTATCCCTGCCCATCACTTAATGCAGATACTCGGGGCTCTGTTCTTGGCCCCTTTCCACACCAAGTAAGGTTTATCGCTTTTGAGAATCTGGAGAAAGCTATGGACCTTCCCCTAACAAAAGTCACATAAGTACTATTTTGGATAATGGAGAATATCTGGATTCCAGAGGTTAAAAATTCTTGCTCTAAATGCTCTCTGGGCAACCTCATCACTCCAGTGGTGTTAATTATATGCTGATGACTTCCAAAATTTTATTGGCACCCCCATATATCCAACAGCCTACTGGGTGTCCAACAGGTTCTTACATCCATCTATCTCCATGGAACTCACCACTGTTCTTCCTAAATGGATTTTTTTTTCTCCTTTTCCCCATCAAGGGTAATCTTACCCATCATCTACCCAGTCACACGAGTCGCAAACCAGGAGCTCAATCTAGATTCTTCTTCTCAATCCGTCATCAAGTTTCTTCAGATATTTGTTCCTGTCCATCTTTATTACCATAGCTCTAGTGACTTCAGGCCTTCAATTCTTGCTGGGATTACTGCATCAGTCTCCTAACTGGTTTCCCTGCCTCTGGCTGATGACACCCCAATTTATCTTTACTAAAGTGAAGTTTTCTTATAAAAATAAGAAATCCATAGTACCAGTCGTTCTGTTACTTTCTTGCTTAAAAATTTTAACGGCTCCCCCACTGCCTAAAGAATGAAGTTCAAACTTCCTGTTATAACAAAGATCATTCTTGATTGGGTCCCTGATGCCTCGCTAACACAGTCCTCCATCATGGCCCCATTCACACACCACCCTCTAGCCATACTGAACTGTGGCTGCTAGTACTTGGACATGCCAGGCCTTTTCACCACTTTCTCCTTTGTTTACAAAGTTCTAATTACAGTGGCCTCTTACATTTCCATAACAAACTTATTTTGGGAAACTTATTTTGGTCTCATTTTTTACGTGTGGAAAACCTACTCATCTTTAGAAGTCAGCTCAAATGTCACCTACCCCGTGAAGTCTTTCCTGACTCTCTTGCCTGAGGAGATCTGATCACTGCCAATCCCCTTGTGTTCCCATTTCTAAACTTAACCAGAGACCAGGAGGGATGAAATCTTGTTCTTCATAGCCCCAAAACCAAGCACAATTGCCTACTATATCCTAGGCTTTGACTGTTTCTGAATGCAAAACAAAAAATATGGCTACCAACATATATGCAATACAAAAAATCACTAGAGTAACTATATGAATCTTTAAAAGAAATACAAGCTGTTAAACTTAATGTAGACAGTAATTCATGTTTTTTCAATATTTGTTCTGTCATCTGCTGTCTATAGCCAGTAAGTGGTAGCACGCACAAAAACTTAAAAAAAAAAAAAAAAATATATATATATATGGGAAAACAAAAAACAAAAACTATCTTCCCATTAGCCAATCTTTCCTGAAAGTTTTGAAATCATCATATTCAGTATTAGTGGTAAAACAGCCTGAATCTAATCATGAAAACACTAGTGTTCCACGGAAAGTCACTGGACTTTCAGGACAGTAACTGACCAAGTAGCAGTTCTGAGACTGGGCCAGTGGTCCAAGACGGGCACAACGGAGCAACATGACCCTGGAAAAGTCCGTTCTTGGAGTTCTCTTTTCCTGATGTCTCAAATATGGATTGTAGTCAAATGATTTCTATGTTATTCCAGTTCTTAACAAACCACTCTGAGT